AGTTAGTCTAATTAACTTCTGCATCTTACTGTCTTTCCTCACCAGGGTGAACTACCTCCTCTTCCAATTAGAATATAATGAGTTTCTTGTATCCTCCTTGTAATTGTGCGCTTTTTGAAACACCTGAGCTCGAAGCCTGAGCTCAACCACCAAGAATATAATTTTGGCTTAGATGAAACATCTAAACTACAGTTCAGGATGTTTAGTATAGTGGATGATATTTTTCTATTTCATAATGAGCAGAAAAAGTGATATATATTTTTTTTTATGCAGCTGCAGGATGGATAGCCATTTACATGATACATATTCTAACAGATATTTGCCTTCATTCTTCCAGCTCCTGACTGCTAAGGGTTGCAACCGCCTGGAATCCAGTAGGTACACAATCTATACAGACTACTTATCTCTAGGCATGCTAATGAGTTTTCATCATCCCTGTCTCTCAATTATTCATTTGTGTAGACCTGTAGTGATCTGGAATGATAATGTTAGTGAATGGTGGCATTTTCTCTGGTGATTTAAACCATTTGTTTCATTTTAACAAACAGTGCAGAGTCAGCTTCCTTTCAGGATAAATATAAAATTTATGTTTCTTTTAACATTTCAAGGAGCTGTTCTTGCTGTACGGTCAAGATAACAAAAACTAACAAAAACAGAAGCGTCAGCTTCTGACCTCCATGCTCCAGAAAGACTCGGACGCATCGTTCCTTTCCTTTGGCAGCAGAGAAGTGCAGCAGCGTCCACCCGTTGGCGTCCCGTATCTTAGGTGAGTAGCCCTGCTCCAGCATCCTCCTGACAGTGCATATGTCCCCTGCTGCCACTGCAGCCTGGATCTGCAGCTCCTCATGGAGGTCAGGGTTCCCTCTGCAGTGATGGTTCAGCATCCTGTCACATTTCACAACAGGAATTTGTACCTGTTCACTTTGGAAAAACAAATACATTGTGGTTCTCTTGAGGACTGGGGTTATTATCTGAAGTGAACTTGAGGTTTTTGTCTTCCTAAGAAATTAGAATTTTTGGATTTGTTCCTCAGTAAGATGCACCTTGACCACCTGCTTTTTCTAGCTGTTGGCAGATCTGTGATATAATGCTGGATGGATATTTGTCTGGATTGTTTTAGACTTGTCAACCAACTTTCTTGCTATCAAATAATGCATTTCCTAAAGCTCGGAGGAGGCCATACTGACTTGCAGAAGCAAAATCCTTGCTAAGATACATGATGTCTGGGCTCCCTTACTGAGTTACACACCTGGACTGACCAGAGAAGTAGTCTGTGTAACTTTCACTGAGTTGCTCATACATGCTGATTCTGAGGTATGCATTGATGTAGCAGCGACTGGAAGCTACTTTCACTTTTAATTCAAAAGTATTAATAGTGTACTTAGTTTTTCCTCATCTGCTTTCCATTTTGGTTTCATTTTTGAGAACCAGTAGGTCCAAAATGTAAAACTAATCTTACACTTACTTCCCACCCCTATCACCATCCACAACAGCCGTTTAAAGATACTTAGATGATATGAATTATGAAATTATATTTTGCTACAGGATAAGTATTAATTGATTTTTTATTTAACTGACAAAAATATTTCCCCATAGTTTTGTTTCATTACTTTTCAGGGTTTTTTTTTAATATAGTAATAATAATAATCAGCATTTGCTAAATCCATCCAAATTTTCAACTACATTGACCTTACAATAAATTTAGAGTGCAGTTTAATCCATTGCAAAGAGTAACTTTACATTATTGTCAAGCCTGTGTCTATGTACACAATATTCCTAAAATAATTGGCTTCGGTCAGTTTTTTGACCACTATTTTAGAAAAGCGACAATATCTCAGTTTCCATTATAGAATATATCAAACTATTTCTAAGGACAAAAGACTGCATCAAGTCTTTGGTCCTTGTTTTAAAAAGTTAATTTTTAAAATAGGTTTAATCAATTTCATCTCATATTTCTCAAGGTTTACTTAACACAACAATATGATTAAAATTAAAATGTACCTTTTAACCAGCTGAAGAGATGGGCTTCTCTTAGTCATATTGCTGCTGCACCTACAGATGTTCTGCTGCAAAATTAAGACAGATAAATTACAACACGAAGAGCAAATCTTATTTCACCTCTGCTTCTAATCTCCCAATTTCTTCAGGCAGCACTGAAAGTGTTCAGATTTATTTTTTGATGTAGAACAACATAACTAAGTAAAACTCCGTGACTTTTCTACCCCATTTTCCAGGATAAACCCACAAAAAGGTGCAAGCTTCCAGAGCTGTGCTGCCAAATTTTTTGCTTCCATTTTGATTTGTATGCTAAACTACCCAAACACTATTTAAAATACAAAAAATATTATTAATCTTAAGCACATTAAATCTCTCTTGACAAAGAAAATAGAAGAAACTCCAAAATAGAACTTCAACACAACAGGTTTTCCAACCTTTAAAATGAATGAATGAAGACAGAACTGGTCACTTCAGCTAACAGGACAATGGGACCAGCCATCAGTATCAAAGATACCAAAACACTTTTCCCTCTGTTTCTGTTTAGATTGATTAAATATCAATCTAAAGCTCACAATTTGCTACTGTATATTGTTAGCTATTATGTAGAAATAAAAAAAAAACATTGTACAAAGACAGAATTAAAAAAAATATATTTTAATAATTAGAATAAACATCAGTAAGTAGCGTTTCCAAATTTAAGAGTAATGATACCAGTTTTAATTGTAACCTTATTTTCTTCATAATTGAGCAGCCACAGTATAATTTATTCCATGGTACTTTTACATTTGCTTTTTTTCTGTCTTCCTGGCATTCCTTTAAAATTAAAATAATATGCTGAATGTCTTCAATATCTTGCAAGCTGGCAAGACATATAAGTGTTTTTTATTGGTCTGTTGACGTCACATAGGGTGACGTAAAAGAAACCCCCTTCTTGAAAAGATGTCCTGTTTCTAGGATTAGAAACAGGACTCAATTCTGCCAAAAAAAGGTTAGAATATCTTAATTCCAATGGCCCTAATCCTCTTCCATGCATTCTCTACTGTAGCATTTGAACCTTTAAACCTTGTGATTGAGTTGAACAGGCTGCAGTATGAAAAGACTGCACAGCACATGATGAATACTCATCCTGCAGGGCACTAATAACACACAAGACTGAAACAAAAATAAATAAATAAAAATAAAGTGATTTATGAAGGACAAATACACGGATAAATTAAGAAGTGTTCACATGTAAATAATCAAATAAGCCTTTAGAATAAAAAAAATGAAGCACAATAGTTACATTTCAAACTAAATCTTCTGTTTAAACTGATTGTTTATTTTTCAGTTTAAAACGGTGTAGCTTAGCTTTGGAACAACTTAATTTATGGGTTTAGCAACTTAAATGGTTAATGGAATAGACTGGGAAATTAACAATGAGAACAACAAAGTAGCAGTGTTTTTAAACAGAATTAACATTAAAGTGTACATCATTTTAGCATGAAAAACCAACTAACACGAGTCCAAATGTAAAGGATATTCATTCTGAATTTTAGAGAAGTAATACTTCCCAAAATTCTCGAACCAAAGCCCAATATAGGGATGTTATTTTTACCAGTCTGCTAGCTGATGCTAGTTAGCCAGCAGGCTAACTAACTCCCCAGCGTTAGCTCGTTAGCTTTTCTATGCTTTCAGAAACCGAGCCCGGGACTAAAACACAGCAGTGCAGTGAATTAGTCGACAATAAAGTTAATACTGAACATTTACAGCTAAAAATTGTACATCTGCTTCCATAAAACAAAGACTTACTGTGCAGACGCTAAGCAGCCGTTTAGCCAATCAATCAGCTCCAGGGAAGACTGGAGTTGTCAAAGCTGCATATTTCTGCTTCCTTCCGCTCAGATTCCACAGCAAACAGCAGAGCTCAGGGTTCAGGAAAACTTCACCAACAACACCTGGAAGTTCCGTCAAAGTTCATTTTGCTGTCAAAATCGCTTCAACTACTAAGTCTCTGTGACAACAGTGTGACCTCACCAGGAAAAACAACCAAACTTCCGTCTTCTTCTTCCTCTTCTTCACAATAAGAGCATATGCAGCTCAATTTGATCAAAATGAACAAAAGGTAATGGGATATAAAAGGTTCTTACAGGGAAGTGGTTTGGAAAAGGTAAAATGATCCCAATACAACAAATAAAATAGAGAGCAGAACAATATAAAGAAAAAATATTTTGTTAATCATGTTTGTGGTTGAATCATTGCACGTTTGAACAATTATTCTTCTGGTTCTGGATGCTCTGCAGCTGGAAGGATTTTTGACCTCACTTTTTTTTTCTTTTGGACAATTATGATGTGTTACTATGGTAATGAGGTATTGTTCGTTTTTACAACGAGCGACTGGTTACCATAAAAAAATCTCAAATAACCAAAACTACAACCCCAAACCCCAAAGGCGGCCTGTGTTGCATAGATGGAACAATCCTCCACATATTTGCACTGGAAAATGTTTCTGTCTCTTGTCTTTTCTCGTATGCTTGTCCTCAGAGGCACAGGTGGCAATGCTGACAGTTTTAAAGTAAAATACTTTGCTGATTGTGTCTGAATGCAGCCAGAATGTGGTTCTGTTGACATTATAGTAGCTTAAAACCTCACAGACATACATCTGCATGTGAGGTGAAAGGAAGGTGGAATTGACACAACTCTCCAATGACAAGATAATTACTCTTTACTCTAAATCAAAGATGCACCATTTTAAACTGTTGCATACAAACTTTTCTTTGACACATAAATTAGAGTGGGATTGTTAGGAATGAAGAATAAAAAACAATATAAATTGAACAAGAAAATGACTTCTCTTTTCCCATTTCATGTGATACACTCCCATCATTTATGGTTTCTGTAGGAGGGCAAACATGACACGATAATTCTAAACGTTTTCCAATGCTATAAAAATGTGAATAAATATTAAATTTCATCATTTCTGTCAACAAGGATTTGTGTCATAGCCTGTGACGTTTCTTCCAGCCTGGCGGGACGCCAGGCAGGCGGCTGCTGTAAACAACCCAACCGGTAATCTATTTAGAAATAACTTTAAAAAGTTAAAGTTCTAACATTTCATTATCTCAAATGAACATAGCTGATTACTACCAGCTGGTGGCGGCAGTGCAACTGTCTCGTTGTTTGCCAAACGCCAATGAACATCAAAGAAGAAGAAGACGGAGGAGGAAGAAGAGGAGGAGGAGAACCCCATTAGTGAGGAAACAAAATGGACTTGATGAGATGAAGGATGGCTGTCCCTCAGAGTCCAGGGCCGTCCTCCATCAGAGAGCTGTCCCCCATCAGAGAGCTGTCCTCCTGCTACCGGGCTCTAGTGGGAGGAGCATGTCCTACACTAAGCGCTGCTGAGGTTGCCAGGCAGCTCTTTGCTGGCGTTTGTGGACAGGTGCCGGAAAGGGACACTCAGGAAGGCGCTGAAGCCGCGTGGGAGCTGATCGTCTTCAGTCTGACTCTGCTGAGGAAGATCTGCTGCGGGCTGTCCGCTCACAGCCTGCATGGAGCTGTCCGGGGACCCTGGGGGGACATCCTCAGCCTGCTGTTTGACCGCATGGACCTCATGTCTCAGCTTGTAAGTAACCTCCTGGGTGAAGACGCAGACAAACACGAGAAGACGTCATCATGAAGAACCCGCTTTGTTCCTCAGGTGTTCCACTTCCGGTCTGAGGATCAGCTGATCTCACATCTGGCTGCAAAGTCTGCATCTGTGTGTGTTCTCCACCTCATCAGCACAGCAGTGAGTAGTTCAAAAAAGGAAACGACTTTTCCAGAACATTCTTACCTTCAGGACTCCTCAATGCTGATCTTATTCTTGTCAAATAATCCAACAATCGATATTGTGGTGGAATATTCTAACAGACAGTGCCGCCTCTTTTCCAACTTCTTGTAAATGGGCCAATGTATGAGAGAGTACATTTCTCCCCAAAAAACTCAGAAGCTTTGAGATTGTCAGAAATTTTGACCTTTGAAAAAAAATGTCATTCTTTTTTAATAAATTGCCTGAGATTAAACTCAAAATTTCAATATGTTTTTCTTTTAGTGGAAATGTACTCATTTTCGAACAGCACCAAGACCCTCCTCTGCAGAAACATGCTGTCATATTTTTCTGTTGGTCTGACAAGCATAATCATAATCTGACAAATTTATAATACAGGTGAAAAAATAAAACTGCCACATTGTTTAGACTCAAACAATGTGAGTCCGAAGACCATTACACATTTTAATCTGTTAATTTTAAAGTCAAATGTGTTTCAGATCATGAAAATCTTAAGATTGTGGGAAAAATGACACATTTTCTTTTTGTGTAAGCAGAGCCTTGAAACACAGAAAACAAAATGAGAGCTGCATTCAAACTTAGGCTGTTCATCTGTTGGCCAGTTATGAAAGATCACTTGTTCAATTTGTGCATAAATCTTTTTTTTTTTAAATATGGCTGACTCCCACAGAGACGTTCTTTCTCAAAGTGACAGGACTGCTGAGCTGCATTATCTCCCACAATTCTTCATCACAGCTTTTGATTTTCTTTTGGGATAAATATATTATTTTTAATTTATACTGAATTGAGTTTAATGGAGTTTTTAATTAATTGATTTCTCCACTTTGTATCCTGCTCTTATTTGTTCTCCTAAACCTCCAGCCTGGTTTGTGATCCAGCTACACAAACAGTTAATACTGGCACATACTGCTCAGCAATGATTTATTTATTTATTTATTTATTTTAATAAAACCTCCCATATGTGACCTCTCCAGGGTGCAGTGAGTCCTGTTTGGAAGAAGCAATGTGTGCAGGCTTTCAGCAGCTCTGCTCCTGGTCCTGAACTTGACGCCTGCCTTTGGTCTCTCACTGAAGTTGTCAAAAAGCTCCTCAAACATTCGAATCAAGGTACTTCTTCTTGGTTTCATTACATCCTGCTTCAGTCTTCAGGATCACTTAGTTCCCTTGTGGATATCTCAGAATGAGTCCTGTAGTATTTGTTCTGTGCTGCACATTACTCTCCCCTCTGCTAACTCCTGACTCTCTCTGTTTTTGGGTCTAAATTGCGTGTCTGTCTGTTCCTCCGTCAGTGCTCTTTGCAGAGGTCGTGGCAGCATTTGACTGCAGCCTGACTGCTTTGTGTTCTAAGCTGCTTCCTGAAGAGAGGACAGAGGTTGGCTTCGGTCGCTCATGGAGGATGACGTTCTGTCTGCTATTGGACCTGCTGGAGGTTCTGACTGCATCGGGTTTGGTTTGTGGAGCTGGGCTCAGCCTGAGAAGCCAAAGGATACCTGCAGTCCAGTCTGCAGTGCTCCTGCTGACCGTCAGCCACTGCTCTGACTACTTTGTGAAAAAGCGAATCCTGCTTTTGCTCAAGAGAGTTCTGCTTCAGAAGCTGGGAGAGGACTGGTCCCTGGAGGGAGTGGCTTTGTCCGTACGGGAGCACAGAGATTTGTGTGCTGACCGCTGTGTGCTGGCTCAGTGTGTCTTACAGGCAGTGACTGCTGACTGGCTGCAGAGCCTACAGGTGGAACGGGCCGTGTTTTTCGGAGGGCGAGAAAAGGAAGGCCTGAAACCGGACGGCACCATGCTGAGGGCAGTCAGTCTGGTTCTTCTCAAGTCTGTAGAGCTTCACCTCCAGACAGCTGCTGCTGCAGGTCAGAGTTCAGCTTTGTGACTTTATGTTGTAGGTCTGGACAGTGGTGATCTTACCACTGCTGGATTACAGCTAAGTTCTGCATGTTGCTCATATGTTCTCCAGGTGCATGCATGGATTCTCTGTGCTCACCCTCCAAATACATGCATGCTTGGTTAAAGCTGCAGCTTGTAACTTTTATTAACCTGTTTTGTTTGTTTTTTACATATTTGATCAAATTATCACTATGTCATCATACAGTTAATTAATGAAAAGATTGATCTCCTCCCTGTGCTCCTACAGCCATATGCAGAAACAACCAATCAGAGCCAGGAGGAAGGAGGGTTTAAGCAGTGTCAATCAATGCCATGTACTTTCTGCTAAATGTAATAATGGTGGAGAAACAACTTACTGTCCCAGAAAAAACTGCTTCTCTATGATTGGTGGCTGTGCTAACTAGCCTGAACACCCTAATGTTAGCAATAAGTTTTAGCATAGCTGAGAGTAAGGGAAGGGTTTGAGGAGCACGTACACAGGAATTCACAGCACCAAGACCCTCCTCCTGGCTCTGATTGGTTGTTTCTGACTGAGCGGTGAATTCCTGCAGATGGCAGTAGGAACACCGGGAGGAGGAGAAGCTCTTTTTTATTACATGTAATTTCCCTCTGGGATGAATAAAATATTTTTAAATGAGTTTAAGTTATGTTTTCAATTGAAGATAATCTTTTAATCTCTTTAATTCCTTTTGCATTTAAAGACTGTAACTGTAACGCAACACCTACTGCAGTTTTTTAATTTTCCAATTTTGTATAAACCTTAGAATGAAATGTTGGATTGAAAGTTCAGGCCTTTTTAAGAAAACCATAAATCATTTTGGTCAGGAAAGGTCTGGTGTGTATTTCTCCAGATCTTGCTGAATTTCAGACATAACAACTGGAGTCTAAAATCAAGTGTACCCTTTGGGAATCATGATGGTATTGCTGTGCTGCTTGCAGGTGTGGACAGATCCTCAGAGGTTGACTCATATCTCCAGAGTCTGTGGTCCTGGTTGAGGAGGCTGGACGTCTCTAAGACTGAAGTCAGTCACTGTTGCAGCTGGATCAGCTTGCTGTTTGGAGAACAGGATGATGACCTCATAGAGGCAGCCAGTGCATCTCTGTCCATATTCATCAGCTGCAGGTAAAATAGATATTAGCTGAGAGTGTCATCAACTTGTTTAATTGCTTTCTGACTACATGATGCAGATCGAAGCCCAGAATTATTCACAGTCCTGGCCGAGTTAGATTTCCAACTATTTTCACTCAATCAAGAAGTTTGTTTGTGACAGAAAATGAGTTGAGCGTCCCTCAGAACTGTCATTTTTATACCTATACATGTAAAAGTGTAACTTATAGATTGTGTTTATTTTAAAAAAAGACTTGTCAAAAATTATGTTCTTAAGACTGGGCTACAAAAATTTTTGGGGGGGAAGTTGTCTGTTTTATCAACTGAATTTAGAACTATTTAGAACCACTGGATCCAAAAATGACATTCATATTTCTCACTCAGGTCAAGTTTTTATTCTAATGTGATTCAGAGAAATCTGATCTTCTGACTAAATTGATGACATTTTTGTGACATTATCAGTTCATTTCCATCCAAAAAAGGTTTTAGATTTTTTTTAAAGTTTTCTAACAGAGTGTATGAATTTAATGATACAAACTGGGATTTCTGTAAATTGACTAATAAACACTGATAAGGGTAAGTACATGTAAATTGGGCTGATTAAACAAAACCACTGTTTTTTATCCAGCCCATCAAAATTACCCTAAAACAGTAGAAAAACAACCAGATATTTTGCTGGCTGTTGACCAGTGTAATCAATGGATAAATCAATTGTCGTTACACTATTTAAAATTTTTTTTTAGCCCCCCCAGGGGTTTTTTGTGGGCTCTAGTGTCCTTTATATAAAAGTAGGCTGACAGGAAGAGGGTAAGAAGAGGCAGTAAAACATCGTCGGGTCTGGGACTCCAGTTGTTATGTCTGAAATTCAGCAAATATCGTCGGGTCTGGGAATTGAACCATTGACAGCCGTGTTGGGGACTCAAGGCCTCCAAACGTGGATCATGTTATCCCCTACGCCACACCATGCCCATTGTTACACTATTTAAACCTCTTCTTATTACCGCTGCCCAGCTTCTTTGATGAGGTCCAAGTCTTTGAGGTTAGAAGGCCTCTGTACTGTCATCCTAATCTGTAGCTGTCGGCCTTAAAAAATGACTTCCATTCACTGGCAGGGGTATGAATAATTTTGGGCTTAGTTCCAATCCAAAAATGTTAAAGTTGCCCATCTTTAACATAAAAACTGTCAAGAAAGTGCTGACTCTGTACGTGTGAGCGCTCCTTCAGGCAGGGAGGACTAATTACCACGGGGACTCATGTCTTCCAGACGGTGTTCAGGCTGGGACAGTCATTCAGTGCTGGATGCAGCCTGTGCATCTGGATGCAACCCTCACTGCCATTTTGTGCTGCTGCTTCAGAGCCTCTCCTTTGACCACAGCATTCTCCTGGACTTCCTCATCTCCTCGGAAACCTGCTTCCTGGAATACTTTGTTCGCTACCTGAAGTACCTCAGAGGAGACTGGCCAGGCTTTGCTGCGGCGTGCAGACACAGAGATGTGAAGCGTCTTGCTGACGCTCATGGATGTGAGCATGGTGAAGGCCAGCAGCCTGGAGATTCAGTCCCATCACTGGAAGGGTCCAATTCAGGCGTTGGGCTTCGGCTTGTAGAGTATGACAGTTCTGACGAGTCCAGTGAAGAAACCCCTGATGGGTACAAACTGTCTGAAACCACAGCTGCACTGATGACTGACAGGAGCTCCAAGCTGAAAACCAAACCCAGTTTATCAGCGATACAAAGTGAGAAAGTTGACTTGTTGGACAGAGCCGTCTCCTGCCTGTCAGAACTCAGACAGGTGGTGATGAGGCTGCAGACTAAACAACTCTTCCCGTACAACCCTTCATCACTCCTGAAGCTTCTCGCACAAGTAGAGAACTGTTATCAGAGGTCACCACTTTCATAAGCTGTTTTAATGAAAAATAAAATATTTTTGAAAACTTAATTAGCCTTCCAGAAAAAGATGTTTTTAACTTGAGGTGTGTCACTACTGTGATTTTAATTTGAGAGTGATGAGAAAGAAAGGACCATCCTGTCACTGCAGGGTTACAACGATAGGCTGCAGCTGTGTCTACAGTCCAGTAACTTCCTACTGTCAGTGTGTGAATGTGTGTGTGAATGAAAAATGTCTGATTTCATGTAAAGCGTCTGAGTATCTTCACAAAGCACTGTATGAGATGGAAGTCTTTTTATTGCAGGCATTAGAACGTGGAAACATGTAAGGCAGATTTACACAGCAAAATCCTGCTCATGTTTCACTGAACAAAACTAATGGAACATTTAGAAAAACACTGAACAAGTGAGGCTTGTTTGGAAAGGTTGGAGGTCCTGACTGGACATAATCAGTGAGTATCATCCTGGATTTATTTAGACTCATGTTAACAGGGTTTCTGCTGTTTGGAGCTTGTGGATGCCTGGCATATCGACGGATTTGTGAGGAACTGAGCTGAATACTCAGACTGAAGCAGTGAGACAGAGGTGCGAATTGGATGCAAATCTTTCGCAGACAAACTTTGGACGCTGAAACTCACAAGTGGGATGGAATAGATCTTGGAGAAGTTGTTAGTTTTCGGCCCAATGGCCATGACCATGCTAATTTGGATGGTATCTGTTATTTTGTGCGATATCAGAAACTTGGTAAAGGAACATTAAGATCTCCTCAGGGCAGAAAAACACCCGATGTTGCTTGTCAGCCTGCCTTTACTTCCTGGAGGGGAGAAAAAGACCTGTGCAGGTAATTGTAGCTGTGCTGGGCGTTACCCAAAAAACGTTATACAGAGACTAGTTGCTGGGAATCTATGCGTGCGTGTGTGTTTGTGTTGGGGAGGGGTGGTATAAAGGGCTGTCCTGCCAGCCTTCATTTCTCACGGCAAACAGACAGCCACCTGGGGTGGAAACAACTGTCCTCACCTTCTGTGTTTGATGGCAGTTAGTGGACAGGTAAGTCTGTTTCACTTTGACCTTGATATGTGATTTTTAATCTGACCGTCACACACTGTTTTGGCATAATTCACTTTTTAAGTATGTGTAGCTCTGGGTGTAGAAACATTGAGCCCTGAAGGTTACCTGGAGGACTCATTTATTACAAACTCAAGGTTTATGAAGTTTGTCCTAATGCTGTAAAAAGACTGTCATTAGTCACTTTGGATAAATAAAACCTTTTTGTTTGAGACGAACAGGATGTCAATGTCTGGGTTTGTCCTGTTAGCTCAGAGCTGAAATCACTCCTGACAGGAGTTCCTCCCGACTTACTGGACATAATATCGGCTGATACAGTGGAATTATTGCGCTTCCTTATTTTTGGCTTCATTCATCACAAGTGTGGTTTAAACAGAAATACACACGAAATCTATTATACAACAAAAATAAATTATGCTTTAATTGTGTATGAACTACAGTTTGAACCAAGTGAAAAATAAAAGGAGCCACAAATGAATGGCATGAAGCAAGCTTCAGCTTCTTCCTGTTCAGTTTCAGGTTCAGTGGTTTGTTATGAATCAGTCGGAGCGGTGATACACTCCCTCATTGTGTACTCAGCTTTGTTTGTCAGCTCAAAGGAAAATCAATAATATGGGTCGCCTGGCTCTGGTCTCCATTAACATTGCAGCCATTTATACATTTATGAGTGCGTGTGTGTGTGTTTATATATGTGGGCGTGTGTGCTGAGAGTGGAACTTAAGCAGCTGTGTTCAGCCTGCCAAGGTTCTGCAGATGTGCTGTAATTATGTTCAGCACATTTGATTCTGATGTTTTAAATAAAGTTTATTCCTCTTATTCTTATAATTATTTATTATTAATTATTATTATTACCTCTTAGAAAGGAAAATTTGAAGGGTGTGGTCTGCATCTGTTTAGTCCTCTTTATTCTGGTACCCCCAAATAAACTCCAATGCAATAAGTTGCCTTCAAATCTGACATTTTAAGTCCAAATTCCTTCACATTCCTGGCAGATGTATGTGGAAGGTTGCTTCACCAGTGTGTTTTCTTTTGCTCTAAGTAATATTACTGTTTTGGACTTGAATGTTTCTGTGAAAGGAGCATAAGACAAGGAGGCCAGGAAGCTCAAAGAACTGGAGCAGCTCATAAAGCATAACTTGGAAAAAAATTAGTAAGCTCTTAATCCATAAACATTTGACATTTTCAAGAAAAAAATGATTAACTAGACTTAAAACTTATTACAGAAAAAGTAATAAATTACAGTCAATGGCTGATATTCACACCACCAGGCCCTCTGACCACCATCAGCAGGTGCAGCGTCTTGCCCAAAGACACAATGATAGAAAAAAACCAGTAACCTACAGAAACAATCCCTACTTCCTGATTGTTTCTTTGTTCTGTAATGTCTTAGTGTTGGAAATCCTGTTCACATCCTTATACACGGTACGACATTGATGAAGAAAATCCAGGAAGTTTAATTATCCATGCACATGTTACACTGAGTGTTAATAATAATAATAACAATTAAAACAGCAGCAAGGAAAAACTGACATTCCTGATGTTTCAGATCCTAGAAATAAATCCTGGAACATTTCAGCTTCTGCTCTTCAGTGACAGGTGAAGTGCTGCAGGTTCCAGGTTAGCATCAGCTCATCATTATCACCTGCACCTGTTTCAGGTTACTTTCAACCCGGACTTTCTTTGTCAGCATTTGCCTTGTTTATTTTGCCAGCCCTGCTCTCTCTCTCTGTCTATGACAGGGAGGGACGGTTGTTAAAAAGGTGTGGATTTGAAACCAAGGGAGCGATGAATAGGTCAATATTTGCTAAGTAAACATGGCTGTATGTACAGGGAAATTGTCACATCTTTAAATGCACACTGCTTGGTGGAGGTTCTCTCTGAAATGTTATTTTGCTTTTTCACTGAGACCACAGGAATAAATAAAACACAATAAGAAATGACTGGACCCTGTGCACGTGTGTTTTCTCCAGGTTTCCTTCCAAGTTAGTTTAGTAGAGTCTACATTGACCTCAGCTGTGAGTTAGTGTGTAGAGGGAACTTGATACAACTGCTAACATTTTCTAATGAAGCTGTTCTTCTGTTTGTTGTCTCATCTTCACACCCTGTTTGCTTTGCCTGCTTAGAAAGGAGATGTTGGACTCTCTGTACCAGTGGTTCTGGTGGGACAAGCTGTGGCTGCCTGCAGAGCTGTCCTGGGCCGATCTGGAGGACAAGGACGGTCTGGTCTATGCCAAAGCCTCACATCTCTATGTCACAGTCCCCTACGCCTTCAGCCTTTTACTGGTCAGATACCTGTTTGAAAGGTAAGAGTTCACATGCAGATTACAATATGTGTTATGTATGGTATGCATTTTTCTACAAATAATTAATTAAATATAGTTTTAAAAGACTAACAAAAGGACTCTATGTATGTATTAAGGAAAACACACAGTCTGAAGAACAAAGTTAGCAAGAGCAGAACAGAATCATTCTTTTCATTCAACGGTTTTTGACACATTTTGCAGGCAGAACTTTTGACTTGTGTAGTTTCTGAGAAATATGAAGTGTGGGCATGAGGTGTGGTAGAGTGGGAGGGATATAAACTTCCAAGGAGCTGATGTACTTAAGTTCTTGTTCAGTGGCCAAAAAGAACTTTGTTCTTGTTTTTCCCACCTTGAGTAAAGAACAGATACTATCTCTGTGTTCTTGAGGATTTGGTGTTGGCCTTTAAAAAATAGTTCAACTTATAAAGCAAAGTGTAACAGATTGTAAATTGTTTAAAATAAATTGTGTAAATTATTTTACACAATTTAGTTTAATTACATCATCATTTACATCATTTACATCAATTAACTTATTTAAAGTAAATTTCCAACATTGTGCAGATTGTTTATAGATGTTTGTCTGCTTTGATTGACACTGTTGGTTCTTTGTATTTAGTTTTGGTTTAATGGCGCCTGTAGTTTTCATGTTGTATTTTGGGCCTTATCGAGTGCCGTAACCAATCAGGACAGGCCTTATAAAATCTTGCAGCAATCAGTTTTACTGTCAATGGTCGGAAAACAATTGTCAACGAGATTCAAATGTCTGCGTACACAAAAACAAATGATTTTCATTCCTCCAGTGAAAGCAGCGAGATGCGTTTTGCTTTGTTGTTTGTATTGTAAGTTCATGTTTGTATGTTTTCAGTTTTCATGGTGATCTAGAGCAAAAAGAAAATAAAAAATGCTGAATGGAGGGTGTGCTGAATGTTGATCAGGGCTAAAATCTCAGAACTTACTGTAGGTTCTTAGAAAATAAGCATAAATAAAGTACAGTATAGCACTTTGCCAAGAAATTCATTTCTATTTATCTTTTCACACTGTGATGTTATGATGGCACACTTCAATTTATTGTAGTCAGGTCTTAAAAAATATTTTACCATGCAACCCTTTTTTAATATCAACATATTAAGCCTAGTTTAATTACAATAACAATCAATGGGAAAGTTGCTTATCTAAAGAAACCTTATTATGCTAAGTTATTGACTCTGAAGCAGTGACTCTACAGATCAATAATGTCAAGACAGTGAAAAAGAACGTCTCATATTTAACTAAATCTATCTGACGCCATTGGCTCAGGCTTCATATTTCCACGTACTTCTCCACTCTTGTGGAGCCACCGTTACAATGGCACACAGAAATCCTTCTCCACTGACACGGCTCCTTCTGAATGCATGTTTTATGTGATGCAGGTGGATAGCAACACCACTCGCTGTCTCTGCAGGAATCAGACATCAAGTTCATCTGAAAGTAGAACACAACCCCATCCTGGAGAACTACTACAGCACTCATAGTAGAAATCCACTTCAGGTAAAACAGTAAATTAAAAGCAACAGAAAGAGTTAATCTGTGAACATCGAACAGAAATGCTATTATGTTAAAAATGGAAGAGCATCAAAACTTTAACATGAAAATTCATTTTGACTAACTCCGTGAGCATGAAGGGCTTGGTGAGTTTGCATGAAGTCCTTGTGAATGTGTTGGGGGGGTTTTTAAGTGGGAACTCCAGTTTCCTCTCACAAATGAAGTTAGCTTGCAATGCTACTTGTGAATGATCGAGTCATTCACAGGAACAACCACCTCATGCCTACTTCCTGGAATAGATCCAGTGTTGTCTATGGAGCTGCAGACTCACTCATGTCATTGTTTTGCCTATAAACATTGTGGCTGTGGGGTTGGTGACTGAATTTCTAACTTTGAACTGGAAGAAGACCAGTCTGGCAACTGGTGTCCAAATGAAACCTTGTGGCTTTGTTCAAAACACTGAAGGTTTACAGTACAACAGCTTTCTTCTATCTGGGCCCTTAAGGCCTCTGGGCTTCCACTGGATGGAGCTTTTTTAAGAGCTGTGGAGCAGCTATGCAAATACAAGTATTTTTTGAGATATTTCCGATTCCTAAATATAAGCTGTTAACACAAAAATGATTGAGAACATGTTACCTTTCAACATATTTATTCTGCTTGTGTGTGTTTAATTCCAGGCTGATATTAATGGGCTGTCTAAGAAAAGCGGTTTGCCTATCAGGCAAATTGAACGCTGGTTCCGAAGAAGACGGAGGCAGGACCATCCTGGAGTCTTAAAGAAATTCAGAGAAGCCAGGTCACTACTCAGTGTGTGTGTGTGTGTGTGTGTGTGTGTGTGTGTGTGTGTGTGTGTGTGTGTGTGGGTGGGTGGGTGGGTGGGTGGGTGGGTGGGTGGGTGTGTGTGGGGAGGTGTGTGTGCGTGCGTGTGTGTGGGTTTGGGTGTGTGTGTGTGTGAGGATGTCTGGATGCTTGTTTATGAGGTAATATTAGTTGGCTAAATAAATATAAATAAGTGTTAGTGATTAAATAAAGCATTGTGACATGCCCAGTGAGCAAAATATCTGATTCCCATGTTAAAGTTGTTGATGGACATAAAGTGAATGCCACATGTAGTTAGGGTTTATTTATAGTATTTCATCAATGTTTAGACCAAACTACATTGCCTGGTCTGAAAGTTGTCTAAACTTTAAACTTGAATGATAATTTCAGAAGGTCCACATCATTTGCACTTTTTCCTTTTTGAGAATCACACAGACTGAGCACTTTTGATTTAAATGTTACAAATTGAGTTTATAAGCTGAAATTGGATGTTTTCCGAAGCAGATGTTAATACAAAAACATCTGCTGCAACAACCTAAAATGTAAGTTACTAAAAAATGTCTCAACATTCAAACACAAAACGTTATGAAAATCATTATTTTCTCAGAAACATGTGTTTATTATTATTTTTACGTGTTTCTGCTCTGGCGACTTGTTCCTGGATTTTTTTGTGCCACGTCACAAAAGTTAGTTCATTTTGAAATCAAGCTTGCAGGGTTTGGAGGAAGAGGGGAAATGTAATCTGCTGGTCCACTGTGAGAGCGCAGCGGTCGACTAGAACAAGAGGAAGACGAGGGACACCAGAAACAACAAGGCAGCAATCTGAAGGCTGAAGGCCATGAACAAAACAACCTGGCCTTCATGAACTCCTCAGCAGAACCCCAAAATGATTCCAGCCAATTTGCAGTGATTTAGCAAAAGGAGCCCAGACTGAGACCTGTGTGGAGATACTGTACAATACATGGACCTACTTTTCTGAAAGCCCACAACTTTGCAATAAAAAAAACACATACTTTTAGTTTTTCTGATGGAATATTCTAATTAGTAAATGTATCTTGGGTTTTGAAATAATCACCAAAATGAAGAGAAATTAGTGTTCTTCAACCCATACCACCTGGATTTATTTAATAGAAAAACTTTGCTGTCTGATTCTGAAAAAAATTAACTCCTCAAATACACAAGATGGACACATTTGAGTCACTTCAACAGTTCATTGTTCTGTCCAAGGCGATTGTACCAAAATGATCTGTGTTAGCAAGAAAACAGAGTTCAAATAGCCACATGGGAGTTACCTCACTGATGTGGTGTCATCTTTGATTGTGTAAGTGTGCAGTTGTATTTGTGATGATATTATTTCCTTAAGTACTCATAAATGTGCTATGTAATTTGTGTGCATGCAATGATTCTTCTGTTGCTGCAGTTGGAGATTTGTTTTTTACCTGTCTGCGTTTATAGGAGGAATCGCAGCACTTTATGATGTAAGTATGAAAAGCATTAAAGGGGCAGTATTATGTAAAATAACTTTTTTTGAGCAATCCTGATATTCTTTATCATAAACATACCTGGAGTGTTTTTTTGACTCTTTAATGCATGCATAAATATTTTAAGCTCCATGGCAACCACTCAGTTGTGCAAAATGACTGTTTGTTCCTAACACCACCTTTGCAGAGCTACAGCTTCCAAGAGTTTGACTTTCTGCCTTAACAGAACAGACCTCCTCACTTTTCTCCCATTTTGCATAGTTGAATAATTTGGCAGACTGAAAAAAACAAAACAAAACATAAGTTTTCAGCAACTAATACCAAAACGTGTCTCATGTGTAGTTTAATGAACAGCAATGGAATTATTAATTGTCTACAATAGTCTTTCTCAAACTATGGTTCCAGACCACTGGTGGTCGCCTCTCAGTGGTCGTGAGCCACTGCACGTAAACAACCGTTTACTTACTGTGATGTGAGCGCAACGTGTGATGCTACAGCTAGCTTACCAAAGGATTGTGTTAAAAGTAATAAGGGAAAACTGACTTAAAATCATTTTGCAGTTTCAAACACCTTGTTTGAACATAAGATGTTCAGAACATACGATTTTGAACAGCTTATGTTCAATGTCTTATGTTAAAGATGTTCTTATATTGAACATCTTCAACATTTTATGTTCAATCAATAAAATGCTTCAAAGTTTTATAGATTCAACATAAAAGCTATAAAATGCTTGTATAGGTGTTGAACATATTCAACACATATATAGACATTTTATATGTTGAATATAAAATGTCTAACATGTTGTTCTTATAATTTTGTTCAACATATGAACAAAATTGTCCACAAAATCAAGCACATTTTGTTCCATGAGTGAAGTAGTTTTTATAATTCACTTCCTAAAAATGATAAAATAACGAACTTCACTCCTTCAGACTAGCCAGCAGCAATTAGCAAACACCTGGTGGAACTGCATATATGCTGAGCTCATCATACAAGTTACTTCTGAGCTGGTAAAAACGTTGGTAAAGGGTTAGCAGACGAGAAATGTGATGATATCTTTCTGAAGGCAGAGTTTTTAAAGAGACAGAGGCCCAATTTCAAGGCATTAAATTGCATACATTTCTTTTAAGTCATATTTGTTAAATTCAGCATTTTTATAACTTCTGAAGGTAACATAGTTTGTCAGTCTTGCACTATGTGGCTGCAAAATACACAATACTGCCCTTTTAAAAGACATCTCAGTTTCAGCAGCTTTTGCCAATTAGATTTCCATAAACTGACCAATTATTATTTTCTTTGTATTGATATTTTACAGAAAGAATGGCTGTATGACTTTAGACAAGTATGGACAAGTTATCCAAAGCAGGTTTGTTTATTTAATTTTTTTTTTTTTTTTTTTACAGATAAGAACTTTGACATGTCCAAAACAATTTAATTAAGCAAATATGAAACCCAGATTGACGTTATCTATGTTAGCATCTGTAAGTCTTTCATACAGTTTACAAAACTGTATGAACCCAGTGACCAATTTACAAAACATTGGTAGCAGCAACAAGGTTGCAGGTTTGAACTCTTTCTGCATGTTGCTTATATCTTCTAACCATCCATGGAGTGGGTTCCTTCTGGGCTCCTTCTGGGTTCTCTCTGGGTTCTCTCTGGGTTCCCTCTGGGTTCCTTCTGGGTTCCCTCTGGGTTCTCTCTGGGTTCCTTCTGGGTTCCTTCTGGGTTCCCTCTGGGTTCTCTCTGGGTTCCCTCTGGGTTCCTTCTGGGTTCTCTCTGGGTTTCTTCTGGGTTCCCTCTGGGTTCTCTTTGGGTTCTCTCTGGGTTCCCTCTGGGTTCTCTCTGGGTTCCCTCTGGGTTCCTTCTGGGTTCCCTCTGGGTTCCTTCTGGGTTCCCTCTGGGTTCTCTCTGGGTTCCCTCTGGGTTCCTTCTGGGTTCTCTCTGGGTTCCTTCTGGGTTCCCTCTGGGTTCTCTTTGGGTTCCTTCTGGGTTCCCTCTGGGTTCTCTCTGGGTTCCCTCTGGGTTCTCTCTGGGTTCCTTCTGGGTTCTCTCTGGGTTCCCTCTGGGTTCTCTCTGGGTTCCCTCTGGGTTCCTTCTGGGTTCCCTCTGGGTTCCTTCTGGGTTCCCTCTGGGTTCTCTCTGGGTTCCCTCTGGGTTCTCTCTGGGTTCCTTCTTGGTTCCTTCTGTGTTCTTTCTGGGTTCCCTCTGGGTTCTCTCTGGGTTCCTTCTGGGTTCTCTCTGGGTTCCCTCTGGGTTCTCTCTGGGTTCCCTCTGGGTTCCTTCTGGGTTCCCTCTGGGTTCCTTCTGGGTTCCCTCTGGGTTCTCTCTGGGTTCCCTCTGGGTTCTCTCTGGGTTCCTTCTTGGTTCCTTCTGTGTTCTTTCTGGGTTCCCTCTGGGTTCTCTCTGGGTTCCTTCTGGGTTCTTTCTGGGTTCTCTCTGGGTTCCTTCTGGGTTCTCTCTGGGTTCCCTCTGGGTTCCTTCTGGGTTCCCTCTGGGTTCTCTCTGGGTTCCCTCTCGGTTCCCTCTGGGTTCTCTCTGGGTTCTTTCACCTCTTCTACAAACATGACTGTTAGGTTAAATGGTCTCTTGGTTTGAGAGTCTGTATGTACGGTTAGTTTCCGTCTGATGATGACCCCTCACGCACTGTCTGCTGCAGACAGGCAGCTCCCCACCAGCCCCTCGAAAATGAGAAGTTAAACTGAATGGAGTTGAAATGAGAGCGCAGCCATGAAGAATAATTCTGTTGTATGTGTAAGTGTGACCTGTTGTTTCATTTTGTCCATATCTGTCCACAGTCCATGCTGGATTCTCAGTACTGGTATTACATCCTGGAGATGAGCTTTTATGGCTGTCTTCTCTGCAGTGTTGCTTTTGATGTCAAGAGAAAGGCGAGTCATGCACCTGAAAGATAAAAATGTCAATTATGTTTCTCAATTTCAGAGTTGTATGTAAATTTTGTGTGATTGCATGTTAAATACTGAAAGTTAAAATTTTTCTGAAAGTCAGAAAGCTTTCAAATTTAGACATGAAAATACTGTACTGGATGAAATGAAAGCTTCCATTGGCAGAAAATGAAAAATGTTCTCTCCTGAGAAGCTTTATTTCTATAATTGGTTGACATCCTTTCCTCTGTATATTTTTGTGATAAATGAAGGATATCATTTTGTTGTTTGTAATTCAGGACTTCAAGGAGCAGATCATCCACCATTTGGCCACTCTGGTCCTTCTGTCATTTTCCTGGTGTGCAAATTTCATTCGAGTCGGAACCCTGGTCATACTGGTCCATGATGCTTCTGATATTTTACTGGAGGTCAGTTAGAAATATGGATCATAAGTTCAGACACAATTATTATTAAGCCAGAGATTTTAGTCATAACATGCTGTAATTATGCACTTTGAAATCTTTGCACAGAACCACTCAGGCATAGGCCCTGAGTGCAATAACAGAATCCTATGCATCTTTGCTGTTGAGGGGTATAGTTTGTCATGGACCCTGATCTAAGCTTTTATGACATCAGAGTTTCCTTTCTGAATCCCCTCCCCATTCTGGTGCTGGAGCTCCAGCTAAAGTGGGTTTATGCAGTGCAATGTGGGATTAATAGTTCCCAAACCAGCCTCATGTAGTTTCAATTCTTCATCATTGGAGATCAAATTTAACCTCCTTCTGTTTGTTTGGAAAAAAAAAATATTTTTTTTTTTATGTCTTACAAACTTGATGTATTTAGATTTGTAACTTTTTGTCAGCAGTTCGTTATTTTATCATTTTTAGGAAGTGAATTATAAAAACTACTTCACTCATGGAACAAAATGTGCTTGATTTTGTGGACAATTTTGTTCATATGTTGAACAAAATTATAAGAACAACATGTTAGACATTTTATATTCAACATATAAAATGTCTATATATGTGTTGAATATGTTCAACACCTATACAAGCATTTTATAGCTTTTATGTTGAATCTATAAAACTTTGAAGCATTTTATTGATTGAACATAAAATGTTGAAGATGTTCAATATAAGAACATCTTTAACATAAGACATTGAACATAAGCTGTTCAAAATCGTATGTTCTGAACATCTTATGTTCAAACAAGGTGTTTGAAACTGCAAAATGATTTTAAGTCAGTTTTCCCTTATTACTTTTAACACAATCCTTTGGTAAGCTAGCTGTAGCATCACACGTTGCGCTCACATCACAGTAAGTAAACGGTTGTTTACGTGCAGTGGCTCACGACCACTGAGAGGCGACCACCAGTGGTCTGGAACCATAGTTTGAGAAAGACTATTGTAGACAATTAATAATTCCATTGCTGTTCATTAAACTACACATGAGACACGTTTTGGTATTAGTTGCTGAAAACTTATGTTTTGTTTTGTTTTTTTCAGTCTGCCAAATTATTCAACTATGCAAAATGGGAGAAAACCAGCCATGGTCTTTTTGTTGCGTTTGCCATTGTGTTTATGGTAACGCGACTGATAATCTTTCCGTTTTGGTAAGCTGTTCCAAGTGTTCCAATGTACAACTACAAAACATGTTTGCATGATTACGTAGAACAATAGATATTTCATTTTCATTTAGATTTGCTCAAATCAAAATATATTTTCATGTGCAGAACGTGTATCGTGATTGGTATTCTTCTATGCTTTATATGTTTAAAAGTGAACTTTTTTTTTCCAAATTAAAGTATTTAATTTTTTATACACAAACATACCACAACTCACAGGCCCGTGCAAACCAATGTCAAACTAAAGCTACTTGAATAAAATGCTGAGAGTGGCTTTATAGACCTTACAGACTCACCAAATATATCAGAAGAATGTTAAGAAGTGAACAATAGTACAGGATGAATAAGTGATTAATGCTGATCTGGTACATGTGTTCTGTTTTCTAACTCTTCACTGGGGGAAAACACTCACACCAGTTGTTGTTCTTCAGGTTGATCCACTGTACCTGGGTCTACCCGGTTCATCACTACCCAGCCTTTTTTGGCTACTACTTCTTCAATGTGATGCTTGTGGTTCTTCTCTTCCTCCACATATTTTGGACCTACCTCATCTTCCGCATGATCAGGAAGTTTCTGTTTGGCACAGTAAGTTGTTCACAGTTTCTGAGAGACTGCATGTGTGTGTGTTAGTGCATTACGTCAATTCCAAAGTCATCTCTGTTGATGTGGTTGATGGAACACAGAAGTGCATAAATGCAGCTGTGGACTCCATATGATCAACAGTTATCAAAATCTATTGCACAGCATCTAAAACCTAAAGAATTTGGATAAGAGCTACATCATATAAAGGTTGAGTACCAGAAGAACAATACTGCAGGGTTTCATCAAGAAGTGATTTATTTGTTTAAGCTAAAAAATATACCAATAGAATCATTGTTGTACTTCCCTTCAGTAAATCTGGGACCATTTTTTACTTCAGGTAAACTGTTTCCCTAATTTAACTTTAGGGAACTTTACTTTGAAAGTTTAATAATTTTTTTTCCTTAAACTTTTCTGTGTCAAAGCTAACAAGAGATGAAAGAAGTGACAATGAGGAGGAGGAAGAACAAGAGAGCAGCTTTACAGAGGATGGAGATGTTCAGCAACACAAGCCCTTCAATAGACTGTCAAGGGATGCAGCCAGTGAGAAGAACGGATGCTTTGGTTTGTCTCCGCCAGAGAACACCTGCTTATCAAGACTATGTCATGAGCTGGGCTCAGTGTAACCAGTAAACAAGGAGACGTGACAAAAAGAGTAGAGCTGATGGAAAAACAAATCACAGTTTATTGTATGTTTGTCATTTTTACAGATACTGAAGAAAAAAAAGCCTTTCTTCTCAAGTTTCATAATGAGCATTGTGGGAAACAGAGATTTTTTTTCCCCTTATGTTCTGTTGTTTGTTTTTATTTTGGTTAAGTTTCATAACTCATAAATACATAACCAGCTGACCTGCAGTATAAATGGAACATTTCCATGGCTTTTGTGATGCAGGTCAGTTTGCCTGTTTATGTCCCACTTGGTCTTCCTCATTCTGTGCTTCATCATTGTGCATCAGTTTGTTTTTCTGGGTGTCAAATATGTTCATGAATTTAACACTATAATCTCATGAAGATTTTATATCTCATTTCTGACTGATTCTGAACCCTGGTTAAGCAAGTGGATTCTGGATTGTCAGAACATAAAATTAGATATGAAACCACCAAAACTGCAAATGTACAAAATGGCAAAGAGCAAAATACCCAGGATGAATGGAGAGACTGCATTCTGTAGAAATGCTCACATTTACAGTAACTGTTTAAAAATTAAATAACTTTGTAAAACCTACAATCAAAAAATGCCTGTATAACAAATTATTTCAGTAGTTCATGTGGAGTAACAGATGTGGTTTCCGTCAGTCGGTCGGTCGGTCGGCCGGTCGGTCAGTCAGTCACATGCGGCTTATCCCTAGTGGTGCTGGTGCCTATCTCCAGAGGTCAACGGGTGAGAGTGGGGGGTCATCCTCGACAGGTCACCAGTCCATCGCAGCCTCACCTGTCAAACTGGCTTTTTCAAAAAAATAAAAATAAAACAAGGAAATAAACTACTAAAAATTATTTTTCAAAATGACAAATCATCAGACAATATTTTAAGCAGCCTTTATGACATTGACATGCTTTCAGACTAAATATTTTACTGGTGTTATTCCTCATTTTAGGTGGAACTAAAATTGATAAAATGCAAGATTAAGCAAGCACACTGAGAATAATTCATTTAACTGAATACATTATTTCACAGTTTTGCTTCATCACTTTAGTTTGATGTCAAACTAAGAATAATCACAGTTTCTTATAGAAATGACAACAGCGCCACCATATGGGCAAAAAGAAGCGACTGGATCTGGTTGTTCCCAACCAGCAGGTTCCAGTTAATGGGACAGTATTATGTAAAATCAGCCTTTGAAACTTATAACTTCATTCCCTCATCATAAACATACTCAGAGTGTTTCCTTGATTTTTTTCATGCATGTTTGAGAATTTTTTTAATCTCCATGGCAACCATTCAGCTGTATGAAATGTGGCCTTTGAGACTCATCTTGTCCTCAGAGCTGCAGTTTCCAGGCTTCATCCTCACAGAGCAGCCCACCCTGCAAATCCCCAGTGCGCTCCTTCAGACTAGCCAGTAGCAATTACCAGACACCTGTATATGCTACTTCTCAGTTAAATGCTTGTGAAAACATTGTTAAAGGTTTAACAGAGGAGCCATGTTGTAGTGACTTCTTGAAAGTGGAGTTTCAGAAATAGCAGGAGTTTTAGTTTTTTCAAGGCTTTAAATTACAAAGTCAAATTTCTTTTAAGTCATATTTTATAATATAGCATTGTTACAACTGAAGGTAACATAGTTATTGGATTGTACTGGACAACACATAACACTGACCCTTTAAATAATCATTAACCAGCTTCAGATTACTGATGACTACTCCAGCATCAAGTGCTGAGATTCAATTTAGGCCAGTTTAGCACATTTCCAGCCTGGAGGCGGGTCCAGACCGGAGGCGGGTCCAGCCTGCTTACTAAACCGTTTTTCAGCGCAGGAAAACTTGTCCCGTTGGATGGTTACAGTGATCAGCTCAACACGAACCGGGCAGTAAAAACCTTTCAGTCCGTTTAGTGAGCTGTGATCATGGGCTCCAGCCATGGCCCCGCTCTGCTCCTCTGTCTGCTCTGCATCGGACTGACGGGTAAGAGATCACTCCTTCTCCTTGTGTGTGAAAAAGTCAATCTGCTATGAAACAAAGTCATTCTTTGTCGGGTGTCCCGTTTTGTCCAAACGCAAACAAAAAGCTTGACTTTACAAAGACTTTAGTCGGTTTTTGTTTGACACTCTCTCTTTCTCTCTCTCTCTCTCTCTCTCTGTTTTTCTTTCTCTCTCTTTTTCTTTCTCTCTCTCTCCTCTCTTTTTCTCTCTCCTGTCTTTGTCTCTCTCTCTCTTTTTCTCTTTCCCTCTCTCTCTCGTTCTCTCTCTCTCTTTATCTCCCTCTCTCGACCCGGATCGTTTTGGTTTATATGGCTGAACAAATCGCTAGTATTCGTAGTGCGGACCTTTCAGACACACGCCGGTGTGTGTGTGTGTGTGCGTGTGTGTGTACAAGTTTCTAAAGATGCCGGCCTGAACGTCATTGGGATCCGACGTTTTTTCCCTGTCAGGCAGAGACGTCAATAGCGTTGAACACTCAGGGGCCTCTGTCCCCACATGCCGTGCAGCACAACATATATTAAAAACAAACTAAAAAAAACCAAATCAATATTTATATTTTATTTTCTCAGCTCAATAAATTAAGCACATTTTTAAAATGAAACAGAAATGTCAGATATTTATGCAAAAGGAAGCCGTTGTACATAACCTGTCGAAAGTTTGGACATAACTTCCCAATGAATTGAATGATTTGAGTGAATTGAATGATTTGAGTGACGGTCGTGTTGCAGATCATCTTAGATTCATTTTATGTCGTCACGTTGCTGCAGACTCTCTCTCTGAGTGTGAAAGATCACTGAACATGAATAAAGTCATCAAGATTCTGTAAAAAATAATTGCCAGAACTCCTGTACATATATTCTCACATAAGATAATAGAGTTTTTCCTGTAATGGAGTAAAATTGACAAAGACAGACTGCAGAAGGAAACAAAGTATAATGCATGAAATGTAACAAAGAAATCTAGCACTCATATAAAGAACGTTAATTACACAAAATAAATCATCCACTTTAAAAGAAATTTGAGTTTACATGCAGTTAACATATTGACCTTGACAGCATCACATTTTTTTAAGAAAGGGTTTATATATATATATATATATATATATATATATATATATATATATATATATATATATATATATATATATATATTTTTTTTTAATGATTGAATTGATCACTTATCACTGTTTTCTGCAAATGATTCATCTTAGATCATTTAGAACCTGATCTAAGGAGAACAGTTTAAAAGCCAAAGCATGAGGCAGGGAAGCATGTGGAGGGTTAAAGAGAAGAGAAAAAGAGAAGACTTTTATGTATTTAAATGCTAAATATGAATTTAATGTCTACTTGTTACAGAATGCCTATCTAATAATCATCCTCAGCTGGGCATTCTGAGGCAGAGCTACCAGCTGGCCTACATGTAGCTGCAATGTTTAACTGGACGTTGTTTCTGTCCACAGCTCAAACTGATGTGGAAACAGTTGAGGTGATTCCCAGGCTGCTGTCCAGCCAGGAGACGAGTCTGTCTGAGGATTCTGCCTCCAGGCTGCGGAGCCATCATCAGTGGCCCTTGGATTTCTCGAGTAAAGAACATTCTGAGGCAGAGAACATTATTGTGTCGCTGTCGGCTTTTGGAAGGAGTCTGTATCTTAATTTAAGACGAGAGCGCAAAATTCTTTCAAGAGATTTTGTAATAGAGGAGAGGCTCAGGAACCAAAGTGTAGTAGTCAGACCACTGTCCATGAAGCAGCTTTGCTTTTACTCTGGCTTTATCATCAACCATACAGACTCTCTGGCATCACTAAGCACCTGTGGCGGTTTGGTAAATCTATCTTTTGTTTTCAGATAGGTGATAAGGTGTCATGATGTTCAAATTAATCAATGAATTCCATCTTAAATTAGATTATGTGGTTACAGGCTAACCTGCAATGGGTATATGTTTCTCTATATATACATATAGTGAAACATCAAATTTTTCTTTTATTTGACCAACATGTTTCCTCTGACTGGATGAAATACTAACATTTGGAGCATCCCAGCCAAGTTTTACTATCTTTTGAGACTGTCTGTCTCATTTCATAAAAAGGTCTAACTATGAATCTAAAAGTCAAAACAGAAAAGCTGGAGGAGTCGGTCATATCTAGACTGATTATTTTAACGTAATTGCTGATTTCCAGTCTTTACTGGAAATCAGGTGTTTGTTGGATTGGATGTCACAGCAGACATGTGTGGGTTTGTGTGTAATCTCACACTCCAGAGATTGGATAGGCAAATTATTGAAAAACTTAGTGTTCATCAGCTGATTAAAAGTTTAAATATATATTCTTAAAAAAGTCAAACCAATCCAGAAATCTGTCTCAGGTCATTTTGTGTTAGTCATTCACATTGTCATGACGACCCCCTGATGGCAAATGTAGAAAGACTTTCTATCTTTGAACATAGCAGAATTACTGAAATGTACGAGCGAGACTTTCTGCAACAAGTTATTCCTGCTGAAATGGTAAAACATTAATTTTTGTAATTTTTGCATGATAACATTTATGGACTTAATTTCTAGATGTAGTGAATATGTTGTGGAGAAGCCTTTTGGTTGAATCAGGATCATGTCTCTGCTTTTTGCGAGCTACAAATTTTGTACGGGAAGAAGAAAGATGGGAAATTTGTCTGATGAAACAAAGTTATAATTTTCAAAATCACTTACTATGACCTCTATGACATGGAGATCCCACTAAAGATGTTTTGACTCTGGTTTGTTTTTTTGTTTTTTTCCATAGGTAATGATATTAAACTTTTAATCAGCTGATGAAAAGCCTGTTTGACTGTAAATGCTAAATACCCAGCCTGTTTCTTGTTCCTTTATTTATTTACTTTTTTTTGCATTTTAAAGCTCAACTTACAGCTTTGTTTAGATCTAAATGCACAAACTATGAATATGTGTCTTTTTTTTTTTTCTATCTGTTTAGCAAACTGTACAGTTAAACCTCGCTGGGTCACTGAGAGGTCAGGTGGAGTACACTGTTAACAAGTGTCCACTCCATCAGGGCATCACAGGACCAGAGCAGCGTATTCTGACACCCAGGGGGAATTTAGAACAGCCATTTAAACTAACATGCATGTGTTGTGATGTTGGGAGGAAGCTGGAGTACCCAGAGGAGAACCTCACTGGGATCTGAATCCAGGACCTTCTTGCTGTGAGGCAAAATTGCTAACAACTACTCCACTTTCTTTGAAAACCTTTTTTTTTCCACATATTGCTACTTTAAAGGATAGAAACAAGAAGGTGCATTAACAGCTCCAGGGCTTTTTTCCACAGAAGCATCCCCTCATTGCAGACCTTTCATTTCTGCACAGACTGGGCTAATTCAGATTGGGGAGGACAGCCTGTTCATCCACCCTGTGGGTGAATATGAGCCATCGCAGTCTTTCTCCGGAATTAAGCACCAGCTGGTCCGACACCGATGCTCACCGAAGAGCTCCCTTGGTCAGTGTGCCGGCCAGCCCATCCACTGTGGGACTGCAGAAGGTAAGAGACACCCAGACGCTGCAGGAGAGCCGACTGGGTCTGATGTTCAGCCCAGGAGCTGGGTTCACACAAGCCTTTTATCCTTTTACCTCAGCCACCAACAATCAGTCAAAAATGTATCAAATAAACAGCTTATAAAAATCGAAACGAATATTAGGAATACATCATCCTATTACATCAGGACGGGACATTAATTATTTTTTAGATCAGCTGCATCCCTGGAGATCCAGAATCCTGCTACTTTTAGGCATGACCATTGTCCTACACACTGGAAATAAATGGAAAAACAGCCTCACTTGCATGCAGTCAAGCTCTACAGAGAGCTCTGCCAATGAGTCCCTACTGGAGCCAGGTTTGTTGAAGCAGAAGAGACGTTTAAAGGTCACTAACCCTGGAGTTTGAGACCAACTGCTTTAGATTGTTTTCAGGTATCACAAAGCAATGGTTTGGACCACAAACCTTTGATTTTAAGAGGTTAATGAAATCCTAGCACCGTGCTAACCCAGTCCTACACACTGCACATTCACCTAGCTCTGTTTTACTGGGTCCTGCTCTACTCTCCTGCTTGTCCTCCTTCCATCACTCCATTTTCATTTCTTTCTCCTCCTGTCTCTGTCTTGCAGCTCCATGATGCCAGCTGACATGTCCTTGTCTGTTACTTGATAGCAACAATGATAATGTTTATAGCATTTTCCCAAAAAAATAAATGTAGTGTTAGAATACAAATAGAAATCAACTTAAAAGTCCTTAATACTCAAGAAGTGAATTATTTTCATCTTGAGCTGTTACAGAGCTGTAATTAATGGAAAAACAGCAGGACAACGAGACACATGTCTGTATTTTCTTTTGAACTTTGAACAAATTCTCATGATGTTTTTTAAAAAATGTCTGCCTTCTGTCTTTCCAATGATTACTGACAAGAAGAACCCCAAATGGAGAGCTTTCTGGATAATGCTTTCTCTGATTTTCCTCATACAGCTTGCTTACCCCTTCAAATCATAATTTTTTTATAATAAAACATGGATGTATAAAACATAGTCCCAAGGCGTCTCCTCCAAACTTTCCATCTCACTGAATGGTGCGTTGACAACAGGTCCAGTTGTGAAATTTCATAATGTGGCATAAAGCGGAGTAACCATACAATTAATTTTGTTTGTTGCCAACAACGCCACCTGGGGTTTCCACCCAGGAACTAACAATCAGGGACACAGGTCCGGTTTTGCAATCAGCAAGAGACAGGTTTCAAGTCAATAATAATTTATTATCACAAAAGACACTTATACCTGAGCAAACAGGAAAGTCCAAAATAGGTCCAGCTAGGCTTACCAGTGGATACGACCAGGCCCTGGATGATAGGTTCCAAAGCAAAAAAAAAAAAGAACGGTTGTTAAAATACAAACAATAAAAGATGCATAAAAGTGTCCATGGAGAAGTCCATAAAATCCTTATGCTGGACAGGCAGGGCAAGATGGACGGTACGATCCAATCCGGAACAGAACGACAGCAGCCGCTCCTTGTTCTGATTTCAGGGGGTTAGGGGGGCGTGCCCCGTACGCAGCAGTTTCTCGCTCTTGACCGCTCTTGACCGCTAAACCAGCAGTCACTCCGTCCAGGCAAGACAGCAGCGTCAAGTGTGTGACCAACAGTGTTCTGTTCTTTTATATCATAGATATTTTTGATTATACGAATGTATATGCTATTGTTTAAACTGAAATAAAGCTTTCAACCCAGTTACTATTATTGGGGGCTTTATGGGTGTTTACTATGTGTAGTTCAGAGTATTGGTAAAGGATGTGGGAGCAGGGAATCGTTTAGGTTTTACTTGATTATTTTGATAATATACATGTAAAAAAAGAAAAACAACTCAAAACAAAAAGATAAAAATAGGATTCGTCACTGAGTCCACATAACGATCAGGTCCAGCTCTTTTCACTTCCACCCAAACAGGAGCATTCAAACTTTGGCACTTAACAGGAACCACTCCACCTACGATCAAACGTGGAGGTAAATGCGCACATACATCTCTGCTGGTTAAAAGCTCTATCACTACAATGAGCAAACAGTTGTAAATGCGCGGGCAGCCCACCTTACCTGTATTCAGAATACAAACAGCCCAACACGGAAGCGCGATGTGTCCACAGCAAACAATAAGTGTCAGTCCACAACTTACCTCAGCTTTTGTACTGAACATACTCTGTTGCTATTGGCCCACTGATAATCACCCTCCCAGCAGGTGCAGCCTCCACCTACTTCCTGCCACAATAACAACGAAGTCTCAGTCAACTGTTGATCGTATTAACTCAGCCAGTTAGTAAAAGTTCACATAAAATCACTCATGGGTTAAGTAGATGTGAGGTTAAGGACATTTTACAGAATTAGTGGCTGCAGAACTTCAAAATGCATTGCAAAAAGACAAAATCTTACAAAGTATTTTTGTCTAATCTCCAGTGCTAATATATCAGTAAACTTCAAATAAGACAAACTAAATTAAAAATAACTTTTTATGAAGATGCAGAGGCTTTTTTCCATTCAAATTTTTAGTAATTTATTGTTATTTATTGTTCACAAAAGGTGGTATAGTCTTATATAATCATCTATTCAGTTTGTTATATTCATCTATACAGCATACCCCTAAAAATGGTATTTAGTGTTCCATTTTTTCCTTCTTTCCTCCTCCTCACCCCAATTCCTGTCAGAATAATGAGGAAGGAAAAGAATCAACAAACCAATATCTGTTGGGTTTATTTTGTTCCCCAACCTGAAAGAATCAACCAAAAACACAAATTACTTTTCCGCAGAAAACAGGAGAAGAGCTCGACGCGGAGAGAACCGCTGCCAAACGCTGTCTGAGATCAACTCCATCGGCTCTCAGTCCCCAACTGCCTTTTATTATTATGTGAATACACAAAGAGGTTGGCTTTCTCACTCAGACATGCAAACAATTGACCAATACACTATCCTATAGGATGTTCTGGAAGTCTTCCATTGATGTCCCATTGTTGGGACACAATGATGACCACTCTCAGGATACAGACAAAGATCATTGTGGCTCGTTAACACAGAAATGTGTGAGACATTTCCAACCCTCAAGAGAAAACTCTAAAAGACAGTTGAGAATATACAATAAAAGAAAGGGAAAGAAAACAACACACGGAATAATATGAAAACATAACCATTCAAATAAAAGTAAATGAACTAAGATAATAATTTTCCTAACAATATCACATCGGAATAACTTTTCTGAACCGTAAAACAAATGATCAAAACTGAACAGAGTAGCTAAGGAACAATGGGTGTCAATGCACTTTCATCAGGTTCACATCAGGTGTTCCAGAGGTTTGTTTTAAGTAAATATTTCCTTAATATTGATGGAAAAGTACTAGTTACATTGACAAATAAATTAACTTATAACATGGAAAAATGTCTTGTTATAAGTGAAATAATCTGCCAATGGAACAAGTACATTTTCATTAATATTAAGAACTTGTTTACGGTACTTAAACAAAGTTACTTGTAACTTTGCTAAAACGTTACTTATATGTTAGTTTGTCTTATTTGAAGTTTACTAAGATATTTACACTAGAAACTAGAACAAAAATACTTGGTAAGATTTTGTGTTTTTGCAGTGTGTAGAGAGCCTTATGAAGCTGGTTGCCATGGTTTCCATCTGCATCCAAGCCTTGCATCACCAAGTTCAATACAAAGCATCGCCCTGGTGTAAAGCTTGTCGCTGGGACATTTGACCTGGATTAGGGAGTCAAGCTTCTCCGTCGAGTTTTCCAATGGACAGGTCTGGATTTTTCAAGAGAAAGCAGCTGCCTGGATGCCTTTTGCTAAAAGTGCCGTTTGGTCCTGAGGGAATCATGGTGTCAGGCTGACACTGGAAGTAGCTCCTTACTTCCAGTGAAAGAATTTCTAGATTCTTCAGCATACCAAAACATTTTCAACAATTTTGTGCTCCGCACATAGTGAGGAATGCTTGTAGAATAATGCCTGATGTTCCACATGACTGTAAAACATTCCATAAATAAGGTCCATAAACATGTAGTTGGCCAAGAGTCAGGATGGGGTTGTCTGCATCTGAAGAAATCTCAACATAATTGCAACCTAAAAAATTGTCATTGATTGAAAACATATCCTAGACTCAGCACTTCGGATGTTTTGGTGAGCAGTTTTTGTCTCAGATATTGAGTCTAATCTTTGTTTTTCTCCCTGCAGGGCAGAAAAAGAAGAAGAAACCAAAACTGGGTGAAGAAGATCGCACCAAGAGGAACACCGTGAACTTCCATAAAACATACACTTTGGAGACGGTGGTAGTGGCAGACTTCAACATGGTGCAGTACCACGGTGCTGAAGTGGCACAAAGATTCCTGCTTACTATCATGAATATGGTGAGAATTCCAGGAAGGACTTTGAGTCAAATCAGAATATTCAAAGGAAAGTTAGGACATTTCAGTCAAAAGGTTGATACATATTTAAGCTCAGGTTAGACAGAAAGCACAATGAGTTTTACTATAAACCGAGAAAAGTGGTTTGTCCTCCTATTAGAAAGTCAGCTTTCCTGATGATGGAAATGACATCAAATAATGTTCAAACATATTCAGCCTTACAGCACAGCTGCTAAAGAAGTAAAACATTCATTGTGATCAGGTTGACAACATGTTCCAGCACAAGAGTCTGGGAGTTACAGTCAACATAAGAGTCAATAAACTGGTTTTGCTTCACACCAGGCCGGTAAGTTTTGCTTCCATCTCCCTTTACAACTTTAACGTCTGCAGTACTTTGGTGTGTGATCATGGTTATGGACATTTGTAGAAAAAACACTATGGGGTGTAAGTGCTAATAATAATAATTTTAGCTTTTAATTTTATTGCTTCCAGTTTTCCGTGTTTTGATTGATATATACTGTGATTATGTCAGGAATAAATAAGATTGCATCACTGTACCTTTCATGTCATCAGGAAAAACTAAAGATAAGCCACCATGGACAGAGGTCTCTGGAGAGCTTTTGTCAATGGCAGCATCAGGAGTTCTCAGTCCCTCGGTACCTCGGTACCAACCACATTACAGGTGGATGGTACGACACGGCTGTTCTGGTCACCAGGTATGCGGTTTACTCCTAGCCCAAAAGATAAACCTTACTGTCACTAAATTTAATCTTAATCCTGGCACTATTGCATATTAAAAATCTTCTTATGTATTAAGTCTTGAAACAGAGACAGACACAAACTGATGGCATTTGTTCAACATACCTGATAGATTCTCACAAACTGAAGATCAAACCTCAAGATGGTTTGCACTCACCAGCTGTTGGTCTTCAGTCAGTCAACCCTTTAGTTCTTATGCAATGGAGGCTTTGATTGTAATAATAATAAAAAAATTCTTCATGTGGAGGAGAAGAGTGGTAGCTCCTTTTCAGCCAGCTGACTGCCAGTGCTCAGCAACATGGTGGAGGGGCAGCACACTGGAAACTTGTTTAAATGAGCGAGCTCTCGGAACCATGGGAGACATTGGTGGTTTTGAAACTGCAGCTTTTCAAAAACTTGCTGATGTTGTTGATTCTGGTAATGACCGATGGCTTCAACTAGTGTTGATACAGGAAGTATGAAAAAAATAGTGATGGGACTTTAACAAGCGAATTTCATTTTGATAATCAAGAAAAACAGTAACACTAAATTAATCATTGTACAATTTACAAATGTTTTCCCAGTTGGTGGCAAAAAATGCATATATGTTTTTTAATTTTATTTATCTTTTTTTGTAACCCTCTGTTGAACCAGCAACATGTGACACTGACTGAAAGATGTTTGATAAACTGATGGAAGAAACGGCTTCTCTGTGCTGGTGATGTATCATGTAATAGGGCAAGAAGGTCATTTAGAAGAAAAGTAGGATGTCATTTTATCAATTTATTTTAAAAATGATTTTTGTTCAATTAAAATTGCACAACAGCTGGAAATATTCAGTTATTTTTAAGGTCATTTTGGTTATCTTATTCCTGAACCATTCTGCCTCTAGCAGAAGTTGACTACTAACATTTCTCAACATTATTAGTATAAAGCAGTTTACAACTTTACAACTTTTCACAAATCCTTGTTTACTTTGTCTGAAATCCTGCCTTTCTGTTTTTAATAACTCGGTGTTGTAATTTCTTTGTTTGGTCTCTCAGGACTGATTTCTGTGTTCATAAAGATGAACCCTGTGATACAGTCGGTGAGTATGTTTAGCCTCCTCCTCTTTCAAGGTCAATTCTCATTTGGGATTCTTAAAAAAAAGAAGATTCCAATGCCATTAAATAAAATGCACTGAAACAAAGTTATGTCTCTTTTCCCAAAGAACATTTTACAAGAGAACTGCTAATCACATAGTCACTAAGTATATTCAGTATCTAAACTAAAATTGAGCACATAGATAAAATGAAACACCCAATAAATTCATTGTGTGTGTGGTTATTATTATTGTGTGGCTGAAGCTCCTCTGCTGGCTCTGCTGCAGCAGATTCCTCATGAAGCCTCCACCCAGAGGAGGCAGCAGCAGCACCCAGTGTCTCCACTCCAAATACAAATATTACATTTTTTTTAAACATTTTTCTGAAAATTTTGAAAGATACTTTCTTCTGTTTTTGTTATTTATATATCTTGAATTTTTCGATATTGTACGAATCAATGTTAAATACTTATAGATCCATATATGTCAGAAAAATATATAGACTCTTATGGGGTGTGCTAACTATTTGACAAAGTAAAGATAGCTTTCCAGAATGTGGTTCAATCATTTGCACTCTTTATATGGTTGATCATTTTGTTCCCATTTGCGATCCGCTCAATGAAAATGTTTATAATGGATGACCCGACGTTATGACCCTGCAGCATGTTGACTAAAATGCTTTCACACTCGATGTTTCAGGTATGGCTTACCTGGGCGGTGCTTGTAGTGCAAAGAGGAAGTGTGTATTAACAGAGGACAATGGACTTAATCTGGCCTTCACCATTGCTCATGAGCTCGGTCACAAGTAGGTGGTGCTCAGATTCATGTCATGCTTTTCGAATGAAAAGACTCTGTTATTTGTTTGTAGCAATGCTGACAAAATGTGATACTACTAGAATAAAAGATGAACTTCAGGAGAAACAGTATGTTGGAAGTAAAGACTAAAATACCTTTTCAATGTCTCTTTCTGAACACAGCATGTCTTACAGAGTTTGTGATTATATCCCAAAGTTGAAATCATTGTGTGATAGTATATAATCTGTGTGAAGCGTGTTTCTGCATGGAGACATCAGAAGGAAAGGCCGCTTTCAGTTTAACACATTCACACATTTTTTCACGTGTCACAAGACAAATCATGACGTTTGTTAGCTTTATTTTACAAACATTTCAATATTTTACAAGCTCACCCAGTCAGTAAAAAAGTTGACCTCTTTCCAGGTTATTTAAAAAATAAACTGAAAGTACTGCATGAACGGAGAATCCACAAGATTTTCCACAGGGTTATTATTTATGAAGAAAAACATCAAAATAGAAAAGCTGAGCTTGGTCTCACTGCCTCTGTGGGTTTTAGGAGAAGGTCAAAGTTATTTTGTTATGTGGTTCAAATGCATGTTTTAAATACATACATAAAAGATTGTTTTCATTACAAAGCTCATCTGTTAAAGTGATGCCAACACATTCTGAAGTGTCACAATGAATACATTCAATTAGAGGGAAATTAGAAAGAAGACTGCTGGGCTTTTAAGAAAATGGCAAACTGGATAAAAACAGAAAAAGAAATAAATTGTGAAGAAATAAAACTGAATAACAGTGGGGGTCATATGAATAGTAAAAGTTTAGTCTGAAATAAATAGACAGAAAGGTAAGTGGGGTTGGAGGATATATTGAATTAAAATTTTTATCTCATAAAAAGAGAATCTCAGGTATTTGGGATTCCTCCTCTTTAACCACTTGGTGATGTATTTATGATTCCTCCTCAGCATGGGGATGAGCCATGATGACGACCATGCTAACTGCACCAGCCACTCCCACATCATGTCCGGTGAATGGGTGAAAGGCAGAAACCCAAACAACCTGTCATGGTCCTCCTGCAGCCGCAGTGATCTGCAGAACTTCCTCAGGTCAGAAAGGGTCTCTCACTAGTCCTTCAGGACCTTACAGACTAATACACCACTCACAACCACTACTCAATATAAAACAAGAATAGATTTGCAAACACATATTTTGGACTCTATTCCTCATATGAGTATTGTTTTCACTGAAGCAGATCTGGAGCCAGCATGTGCCTCCGCTACACAGGCCCTAGGAGCCGCTACAGGATGCGCCTCTCTTCCAAGCTTCCAGGGATGCACTACAGTGCTGATGAGCAATGTCAGATCCTGTTCGGAATCAATTCCACTTCCTGCCCTGACATGGAGGTACAACATGCAACTGATCAACTGTATGTCACTTGACATTTAGCAATAAAATGTGTATGTGTGTGTGAGCTCCCACCTCCACCCCAACTCCACCCATAGCTCCTCCAGACTAGCGGCAGCTGCAATTAGTAAATACCTGGAGGAACTGAGAGTCAGCTGAACAGTTGTAAATGGCATAATGACATGTTGAAGGCAGAGAGTTGGAAAGTGGAGCTTCTTAAAGAGACAAAAGTCCAATTATAAGGCATAATATTCATTGTCTTTTGAATCATGTTTGATATATGCAGCATTTTCATAACAACTGAACTTTTATGAAATGTCTCTATGTGCCTGAAAAACATATAATATTGCATTAAATAATATATTTTAAAAAATGAAGATAAATCAGAAGTAATGTCTGCCAATTTGTGACTCTGCTGGCTCTAACAACCTCCCCAGTGTCTCCTTTGTCTCTAATGGTTTTTCAGCATCTCATGTGTGCTGGCCTGTGGTGTTCAGTAGATGGAGATCCTTCATGTAAGACAAAACTCGATCCTCCTCTGGAAGGAACAGAGTGTGGAACAGATAAGGTAAGAACCACAAAATGTTCCTCTCATCATTTCTTTTTTAAACTTTTTTTTACAAACAGAACCTTTTTTTCTGAGGATGTGCAATGTTCTCACATTTCTGACTTCAGTACAGTTGTGAAATATGAATGTTTCCTTGATAGTGGTGCAGAGGGGGACAATGTGTCAGTAAGGCTCCCATCCCCCAACATGTGGATGGAGACTGGAGTCCCTGGAGCCAGTGGAGCATGTGCAGTCGGACATGCGGTACTGGGGTCCAGTTCAGACAGAGGAAGTGTGACAACCCGCCGTATGTTTCTGTGTGCACACGTGTTTATTTTCTTCTATACGCTATATTGCCGACACCACCTGACAAGAGACAAACAAACTAAAACCTGATATTATTCCCAGTATTAAAAACCCGCACAGCAGGAGAATAAAAGGATGGAGACATCAACTAAATGACTGATAACTTTGACTCCTTCTGTCTCTAGGCCCGGTCCAGATGGACGGCACTGTCCAGAAGCCAGTGTGGAGCACAAGGCATGTCAAGGCCAGCCGTGTCCCAAAGGGGCCCCAAGTTTCAGAGACCTGCAGTGTCTTTCCTATGACCAACATGGCAGTAAAAGAAAGGGCAGACTGTTGACTGCGTTCATTAATGATGGTGAGAAACAAAGACACAAACACGTCTCACCTCATCAGGTAATTGCTGTGTCATGGATACTGTGCACTGCAGGAAGAAAGGGTTTATAATATATGGCTTTTTATGTCAGAGGTTTTAAAAATGTATTTAATTTTTTTTTATAAAGTCCTGATCTACTGAAGTTTAAGCTTACACCAAAACAAAAAACAAGAATATGTAGCATAACAGAGACTGTCAGTTTTCATTTACTGCAGTTATCTTTTTATAGCTATTCACAGTAATGTAGTTTAATATTATTATTTGTATGTTCATCTTTCATTTCTCCTGCTAAAATCAAGTTGTGTGTGTCTGTGTGTGTGGATGAGCAGATAAGCCATGTATGTTGTTCTGCAGCCCGGTGGGTCAGGATGTTCCGGCCCTGATGGCTGACAAAGTCATTGATGGCACTTCCTGTGGGCCTTATGAGTCAGACCTCTGCATTAAAGGGAGCTGTAAGGTACGCATCATCATAACGGCTCTGGTTTGTGCTGCTGATGTGGACATGGGTAAGGTATCCAATGTATTCTCATATCCCATGATGCTTTGCATAAATAATCTGCCAGAGTTTCAATCGGTTGGAGTAATTATCCAGTGTCATTGTAGGTGTATGTTCAAATCACACTAAGCCACAAGTTAAACTTTCTGTGATTATAAGTGACATCACAAACAAATTTTTAGAAAAATTACAAACCAGCGACATCAGAAATACAACAGTTAGGCACTAGAAACGTTCTCCTGGAAATTTCACTATCTTCTCTGAAGCTGCACACAGTCAGTCATAGTCACCTGTACCAGGAACAAACTGACCTCTAGTGGAAGTGTTCAGTAGAACGTTTAGGCCTTGAACTAACAGATGTGACTAAAACTAAACCCAGTCGGTCCAGAGCCCAAAACATGTTGGGGGAGAGGAGGGCTTGGTACAGTTCAGGAGAAACTTATGTAATTATGCCTTAAATTAAACCTAAATTATAACGACTGTTAATTCTATGCGAAGACTGCGTGGATACGGTTTAGCTGCAAACACATTGACTCTGGTTATTCACACATGGACTAGTAGAGACTCTAACTTCTCCTTTCTGACTGTTGATTTTTTCCCCCTGTGAACAGAAAATTGGTTGTGACGGCATCATCGGCTCCTCAGCAAAGGAAGATGCATGTGGTGTTTGCAATGGACATGGAGACTCCTGTAAAATTGTGAAAGGAGACTTCAATTACACCAAGGGAATGGGTAGGTGTGTCCATTTTGGCATCAGACTTCTATCAATTGTTTAGAGCAGGGTCAACTTCACACAATACTTTCCATATTTGACCTTTTGTTCATCTGAAAAGCCAGCTCTCATTTTGACAAATTACATTTTATACACCTGACGTCTATTTTGATATGGCTGAAAAGCCATCTCATACTATCACAAAAACTTTTTAGCAAAAACATGATTTTTTTTTTTATTGGTGTGATTCCATGAAGCAAATTTATTTTTGTAATTTCAATTTGCAAAATTTTATGGTTAGTGGAAAAGCAGCTACTGACTTTGCAGCAGTCCCTTATACTGAGCAACATGTGGCTAAAGAGTAAAGAAACAAACATTTTCTTCCTTTCACAAAATTACTTTTACAAATCAGTATTTGTGTTTAAACTACACAATAATTCACTTCAGTTAATTTATATTTCTCCTTTTGCTTGTGTGTTTCTGTCAGGCTACATTGAGGCTGTGGTGATTCCTGCAGGAGCGTGGAGGATCAAAGTCATGGAGGACAAACCTTTACAGAGCTTTCTGGGTAATCATGTCTTGGTTTACTCACCACAAATATATCTTGTAAATCTGTACTTAAACAGAAAGGTAAAACATCTTTTCTCTTGTCTTATGGATGGAACGAGTGACAAATACCAATTTCTTTGTGTGTAAATGTTGTATGTTATTCAGAAAACTCAATCTGTAATTTTCCTATAGCTCTTAAGGACTCCAGCAAGAGATCCATTAACAGCGACTGGAAGATTGAACTTCCGGGAGACTTTGAGCTGGCTGGGACCATGGTGCGATACGTCAGAAGAGGATTGTGGGAGAAGATTTCTGCCAAAGGGCCGACTAAAGCTCCCTTACACCTAATGGTAAAGTGGGCCAGTGAGCGAGTGGGTTACACATGCCTAGAGACAAAAATGTACTCTGTGTGTTGATGTTTAGTCAAAGAGGATTTGTGGAAGCAACACCCTCTCACTAAATATGAAACTTAAGTTTAAAGGTGAGTAAGAGTGGGTTCTCCCTTCCTCAGTCAAAAAGCATGTCTGACAGAGGGAGGCGATGCATGTCCATCACAGCCCCAGGGATAAGCAGGTATAGTATCTTACTATTGATCAACAGCTGGCTGAAATAAATTAACAGTAAATGAATCAGTATTATAAAGATAAAAAATCATATTCATGAGTGAAATAGGCTCCAAGGTTAGCAGCAAAGGACAATGAGGAGAATAAAAGTCACTGGCCCTTTAAGGCTTGCTGAGCCTTCTTCTATTACTTTTGTTGTGATCGTAGGTCCTGCTCTTTCACGATCAGAGCTATGGAATCCACTATGAGTACACCATATCTGTGAACACAAGCCAGGATCAGAGCAGTGAGAAACACACAGAACCAGAGTACCTCTATGTCTGGGCTCACAGTGGCTGGCAGAACTGTTCTGTTCAGTGTGGAGGAGGTAAGAGTTCAACACTATTCACACCACCATGCCAAGGTATTCATTCCCCTTCAGTTTTTTTTTTTTACAGTTGCAATACATTTTATTTTGTATTTTTTATTTATTTATTTTTGCTCACCCAATTTATCACTACTTATTTTAATCTTTGGAGATCAGGCCCTCAGCAAAGTGTCCGGGCTGAAATTGATCAGTTAAATAATTGATTGAGAAATGCCTCTCACTGAAATGTTGGTCTGTGTGATTATTATTTCTCTTTGCTGCATTACAAAGATAACCTTGACAGAAATATGTTTAGACATATGTTAAACATGTAAGCATGTTGTGACTGTATGAGACAGATAATCAGTCTCATACAGACTGATTATGTATGAGACATTAATAATGTATGTTATTAATGAAAACATATCCATTTGTTTATGTTTTCATTAATAAGTCAAATAGTCTGAAGTTGTTTTTCAGTAGGGAGGAAAAGTATAAAGTAAAATGATATTTTTTAGTGTGTATGAATGTAGACATTAGCCTTTTGAAGTTGATGTTCCCACCCCATGCAAACACACAAGCGGTTTACGTCAAGTAACGTCACTATATAACCATTGGCATTTATGCTGACCAAAATCAACCAATCAGAGCCAGGAAGCGGGGCTTAGAGCTGTTAGGCAGTGCTGCTCACTGTGCCAATGGACGAGAAAAAACTTACTGTTCCAGGAAAGTTTATTCACTGTCTTAGGCACTGTCTATGCTAAGTAGCCTTAGCATTTGGGGCAGGCTATGTTGTGGTGAACCAGCTGTAGAAGAAAACGAGGGGCAGATGATTGGCAGACCCACCTCCTGGCTCTGATTGGTTGTACTAGGAACACTGGGAGAAAATTATCTGTCTGTCACAACATGATGATAATTTTAACAAATATGTAAAAAACATTTTTTTATAAAAGATGTCTTTGCAGTGACTGCATCCAAAGCAGAGTTCCAACAACGAGCTGAAACCAAACAGCTTGTTCATATCTGCTCTCTAAGTTTTCCTCACTGTCTCGCTCTCTACTTTTCTTTTTCTGACATATTCTCTCTTTGTTGTCATACAGTGAAGATCCTAAAATCACATTATCCTTTGTCTAGCTTGAAGTGAGGCTTGGACGCATCTATAGTTTTGTTAAGTGGGGGGTTTGTCTGGGTCTGGTTATCATCTTCAGACCTGACATCAGGAATCAGTGCTGTGCTGAGTAGGGATATCATTGTTATCCATATCCATTTGTTTATGTTTTCATTAATAAGTCAAATAGTCTGAAGTTGTTTTTCAGTATTCCATTTCATTTGTCATAATTTGTTAGTGATTCAATCCTATACTCAGTATTCATTTTCCCTGGTACTTTGTAGACTACAGAACTACAAACCCATGGTTGTGTTTCATGCAGGTGAGAGGAGCACAGCGATCTTCTGTATGAGGACGGTCAATAACAGCATGGAGGTTGTCAGTGATGACTACTGTCACCCTGAGACCCGGCCCCAGGCCAAGGTGCAGCGCTGCAACACTCTGCCCTGCCAGTACAGGTCAGCTGCCCGCACACGCACACACACGCACACACACATTAAGACATCCTAGAATAGTGGTGCCCAAAGTAGGTCCCGGAGGGCCGGCGCCCTCTCCCTGGTTTTACTCTCCTGGATCCAATGATGGATCATTAGAGGCCTAAGAAGAACACTGACATGCTGAGGAGGTTGTTACAACCACCAAGGAGAGAACTAAAACATGCAGGATGCCGGGCGCTGGCCCTCCAGGACCCACTTTAGGTACCACTGGACTAGACAGTTTTAAACATCTGCAGCCAAACATTTACAGTAGAGATATTTACATTCTGAAGTGATTCTGTTTTCTACATCTACTAATCTTTTCAACTGTATGGAAAATCAATGTTTAATATTTGATGCAATTCTTTATAATTATAATGAATGATTTATTATTAATGAATTTATGAGAAGTCAGTGGCTGACTCAAACACCTGGGTTTCTATAGAAACTTTTAATCTGCCTGTAATAATAAATTGCGCGTCATGATAAATAAGATTAACTGAATATATGTCTGAACGAACTGAATTTTTTTAAGTGCCTTGAGTTGAGACGCTGTTTGTTGTGAAGATGCTACAGAAATAAATTGAGTTGAATTCAGTTTTTCTGCTCCTCCAATATGGAAAAAACTTCTAGAAAACACTGAGTTTATTTAAACCAAAGTTAAAAACCATTTTGCTCAGAGTTGCCTTGTTCAGTCAATAATAACAGAAACATCATTCGATTTAAACTGAGCCTGTTAGTCACTGATGTTTTTCCACTTTTACAAGATTAGTGAGATTCCATAGAAAACTTGAGACAGAATGGGATGTGAAGTTACATCATTTGTGTCATAGACTCAGTCTCTGAAAATGTGAAGTGAAAGAATAAAAGCTGAGATATTCTCCACAGGTGGGTGGCAGGTGAGTGGGGGCCCTGCTCCGTCTCCTGTGGTAATGGTCTCCAGCAGAGACAGGTGTCTTGTGTTTACCCCTCACTAAATGGCTCACTCATCCACACCAAGGACCGGGACTGCTACGGGGGCAAACCTGTGGGGCAACAGGACTGTGAGGGCAACTCCTGCCTTCCAGAATGGGAGGCCTCAGACTGGTCACAGGTAGTCCAACACTATGCAGGGAGAGGAGGAACTCTTTGGTGCTGCTTAGTGCAAAATTTACACTAGAGTAGGTTCAATGTGCTAAGTTCATTATTTGTTAAAAATGCTAAATAATCTATGTTTAAACAGTTCATAGCCGTTCAGGGTGGATTTGGAAGACCTGGGGAGACTAACTGTGAACCTATTGGTATGAGGTCACTATGTCTCTGAGTGGAAACGCCTTCTGAAGGCTGAATGCTGGGCACAGAGTGTCACAGAGTTTAATATATTGCTGTTGGAACTTCATGAATATAAAATTGGTGCATGTCGCTTATGCTTTGACAGTATTTTCCTTGCGGTCCTCCAGTGTTCATCGGCCTGCGGCCGGGGTGTTCGCACGCGGACAGTGCGCTGCAGAAGCCCAGATGGAGGATGTGAGTCTGATTCCAAGCCCAGTCAACAAGAAACCTGTGAAGAAGACGTAGAATGCTTTGAATGGAGGTTTGGAGACTGGTCCAAGGTATGAATGTCAATAAGCATATTTAGTGTATGGTTAAAGTTAAGATAATGATAAATCACTGGATAAGTAAACACTGGTACAAATCACTTCTCATGAGCAACATTTGGCCTTTTTTTATCAACAAAGATCTGCAAATGAAGCACAAGAAAGACAGATAGCAGTTTGCAAATGTCCACAGAGACCTTGTTATTTGGAGACATGTTTTGTTGTTTGATAGAACTAAAGTAGAACCGAGGAAAACCAGGAACGCAAGTAAGCCTGAGAACAACATCTGAACTGAATGACACGGGGGTGGCTGCATTGTGTTTTGAGGCTGTTACATACAACAGATGCATCATGAGAAAAGAACATTGTGTAGAAATGTTAATGCAACATCTAAATTTAATTTGTTCTATGTAAGCTTCTCATTTCAACGACAGATAACCATAAAATGAGCGAAACATAATGGATGACTCTCTGGCCATTTCAGTGCTCATCCACGTGTGGAAAGGGTCTACAGTCACGAGTGGTCCAGTGCATGCATAAAGACACCGGTCGCCATGGCGACAATTGCCCACTAATACTGAGACCACCAATTTACAGATCTTGTTATCGTGAATCCTGCTTCAACAGAGGTGATGTAAACTCTGCTTCTGATATGGACAGAAGAGATGCTACAAATTAAACAGCAATGTCTCTCAATTCCTTCAGTTAGTTCAGTTGGAGGACAGATTTGTTGCTGTAGCATCAAGTTTGTTCATTTTGTTTTACTTTTACAGTAAAACCAGCCGATGCCTGAAGAAGGATTAACCCTCGTGCTGACTGGATAGTTCCTCTGCCCCGAAGCCCCCCGCTGACGGGGGGACGAGGGAGAATACATCACCTCCATAGCAGCTAGTCCTTCCAGCTGCATCAGGAGAGAAGCTTTTCTTTAAGATTAATTGCACATTATATTTGATCATATCTTTGATTCTTTTTTTTATTATTTTGGATTATAGATTTATGTTTGAGTTTCCAACAATAAACTACAATGTAAAGCACAGATCCTACATTGTTATGGACAAAGAAATCTTGGAATTTAAGAAATTTGGGAATCAAAACTTTAGAAACTGAAACTTTAGGTGCTTTTGCAAGCTGCATTTATGTTTATTTTAAACAGTTACAGAAATACTTGATCGACCTGACCAAGAGGTTCTGGTTGATTTTATGTACTGTGTTTAATGCATGGTTTTGTGTGGTAGTTATGGGTGCTATAAAAACACGAGACAGAATATGAAATGATGTTCTGTGACAGTGAAGACATTTCTTTGCTGATGCTGCTGTGACCCTGTACTATACCTGTATTACACACACTTCAAGGGGTCTTATCTTAAAATGTACAAATTACTTAACGCATATTGTTTAAGCTTAAGTAATGTTTAGCATAAGCAAATAAATGTTACTTTGTTTATAAATTGCTTGTTCTGTCCAGTGGAACAACAGACCGTCTCATGTTTATTGGAGCTGCCTGTCAATGTGTATTTTGAAATCCCATTTCAGGTTTTCTTTTTGTTTTACTAATACTATCAGATAACAACTATTTGCTGCCTGCAATCTTGTCTTTTTTTAAAAATATGTATATTTTTATGGATTGGTCTAAATTTGTGTAACCGAAACCTAATTATATTTTTCAGTCTTATAATAGAAAACTTTTTCAATTCTATTAAATTTTCTTTTTCACAGGAATAGTGAGAATATTTATGACAGCTCTGTGAGATGAACATCAACTACATCTGATATTTCTAAATACATACTCCATCTCAGGCTGCACAGTGGTGCAGTTGGTAGAACTGTTGCCTTGCAGCAAGTAAGTCATGGGTTCAAATCCCAGCCTGGGGTCTTCCTGTGTCTGTGGGATCTCTCTAGGTATAAACCAACAGAAACATGACAGTTTGATCTTTCTAAATTCTCCTTTAGAGATGTGTGGTCATTTGTCCTGTGTTGCTCTGTGACAAAGAACCATAAGAGAAAAAGTCAGTTGATCACATATTTTTTAAGTCGGACATTTTCCTCATCCTCCGAAGAGCCGGATCTCAAAGCCTGAGAGGAAGGTATATGTTAGCTAAAAAATATGTATGTCTTTCAAAGTAAAATTTCTATAATCAAGTATGTCTTTCAAAGTAAAATTTCTATAATCAAGGTTTATTTTACTTGGAAAATATTTGACGTGCTTTATTTCTCTTACCCACATGCCAACCATTACTCTGTAAATCATAGTGAAAAAAAAATGGAAAAACAGTGATGGCATCATTATGCTGTAGATGCTGATGCTCAGGTTGGACAGGAAACTGAACTTCAAGCCAATGTGTTCACACTCTCTTTCTCACCTTCCAGCAATATTCCAGCGCATTATTTACTTAAAGTTTAAGTAAATAAAGTTTATGTTCAGTTTAAGTCTTAAACTGAACATAAAATCCCAATAAAATACACTGACCTTTGTGGGCTTATGGTGTTAAACTGTGTATATGTTCAAACGGTGTGAATACTTCTGAACTTTAAGACAAAAGAAATTCAAAGGGTTTTTCCTTTCTTGACATTCTTCAATATGCTCTTTTTTTTAAGAATTACTTTCCACCCATGAGGATAAATCATCAGTGTAAATCAGCTTTTCATCCAATAACCTGTTTTTTTCACCCTGAATTCTGAAACTTCCCAAATCATAAAAATCACTTTCACCATAAAAGGTTGTACCACAAAAAGTTCTTTTCTGAATATTTTTTTTATTCAAGGTCAAAACATCATAACTAACATTAACATGACAAGTTGATTTGAAAATAATAATCCATTAAGTTTTATCAACTTTATTCTCATGCTGATTAAAGCAGAGTGAGGAGCCAGAAAGGAATAACTTAGATAAAAAGATTTGTGCAAAGTCAAACTAGATTAGTACTGAGAACACATTGTAGAATTCAAACAGCATGCAATACCTCCAAGAAAACATTTTGCCAGTGGTCTTTTCAAATCAAAAGACAGCCAACTATAATCAAGACAGTAACGCCAATAAATGAGAATGAGAATTAAAAAGCAGATAAACTTCCTAGACTTAATCAGCCAGAGTGAAAGTCAGTAGAAAAAAATTCCAAAGTCGCCCTTCCCATTCCATTTGAACTGATTTCCCTGAGCAGAAACAAAGATCTGGTGCTCCATCAGATCCTGCACCGCTCGGCTACAGGACACTTCCTTGCTTCTACTCAGCTGACGACCGAACTGCCACTTCCTGCCGGCGGCAGCAGCAGTGCCACCGCCGCTGCTGTTGGTTCCTGCTGACTCCAGCTGGGAGGCAGCAGAGTCTGACTTTGCTGCTGCCGGCTCTGGAAGAGCCTCCTGCTGCTGGTCATCAGCGCTTTGCACTGCTGGGTCTTCTGGGGACAAACAGAACTACAGATGAACTAACTACTGATTCTACCAAGACAACCATCAGAGCATTGAGCACAATGAGAACTGCTGACCTTCACCCTCACAGGACTGGACCCTCTGCTCCTCTCCAGAATCCGGTTTAACCAGAATCACACCGTAGTCCTCATTGTTATAGATGATATTGTTTTCCATGGTGATGGATGGCATCCCATCCAACTCATTGGCAAAGTCCTGCATGTCGACACACCCACACACACATATGGATTATACTTTTGAAAGGACAAACTTATTCTAGAAAGCATAGATTCAGTGTTACAGAAAGAAAACCTGTCAGCCTGACGGAGAATACCAAATACCTCAGAAATAAGAAATGACGTGAAAAAGTGCCACCTTCTGAAAAATTGCAGAAAAGTTACCTGACCTAAAACTGAAATAACTGTCGCACTCAGGACTCAAGAGGCACCTTTTGCAATTCATTAATGAGTTAATCAAAAAATATATAAACCTTACACTTGTTTGAAGTGTAAGGTTAGAAGGATTTTAGCTTTAGCTACAGATGCATCCCTTGCTACAAATAATGAAATGTTCACTAAATGATTGCTGCTACTGTATTTTAGGAAATATGTTTTTTTGTTATTATTTTGTAAAAGTAGATTTGCTTAGTTGCATATTTTAATGAATTTCTAATACTGCATAAAAGGCTTAAATAGTTACATTTATTTTTTCAATTAATAATTTGTGTTTTTTTTTTCTGTGTGTGTGTTCTAGTTTAAATTATTCATTTATGGGTAAACACACACACGTACACATTGGTCAACATCATTTGTCAAAACTATTGACAGTACATCTCAGCAGGTTGCACGATTTTGTTTGTATAAGAAAGTTGTTTTCTTTTAGGATGAAAGTCGGCGGGAGTTGTGAAGCCTCACCTTGATCAGGACTCCGTCCTTACAGTGATGGATGCTATTACTGACCAGACTGGAAATGCTGCCAGGATAGATCTCCACACCTGCCCCCTGCACAGATATGTCTGACATCATCAAGAAAAGCCAATCATCAAACAGAAAAAGACAGTTTGTGACATGGAAGCCGTCTGTTTAAGAAAGACAAGTGGGAGCAGGGGGGCTTCCTGTGTGTGCTGTCCGAACCTTGGAGCCATACAGGTCACACATGTTCATGGTGAAGCGGGCAGATGTCTGTACAATCACGCCGGTAGTGTCACACTGCAGCACACAGTTCTCCATGTTCAGAGTGCCCTGACGCACACCTGGTCATCAATCGACAAGAAGATTCAGCATTTAAACACAGGGGTCCAGCAAAATGACACATCAGATTACTGCTGATGGAAAATTCACTGTTTTGGTTCTGCAGAAAATGATCAAGCAGGCTAATTGAAGAACAATGTTGATATGCAGGATATTACATGTTTTACATGTAATATACATGTTCGGCTAATATCTATTAGCTGGCAAATTAATTGGCCTCCTAGAAGCCACTCATCTGTTTGAACTTTAAAACTGCTTTAACTTTATAAGAGTTACTGAAAAATGCTTTGTCATATTTCACTTGTAAGAAAAGGAAATGTGTGGTATTTCAGTAGACTGGTAGTGTGAGGTGATAGCTGAGGAACAGAAAGGACTTCAAACTTTATTCCTGTTCTGAATGCTAAGTGGATTTCTGCATTTGAATGTCTTCAAACAACAATTTATACTGCTGTACAACAAATTAAGAGATTTACAGAAAACATTGACACCAATTTAGCTGTACTTCTAAAACAAAGATTCTGTTCCAATGACATTGTGGTTGTTTGCATTGTAGCAATTTTCATGAAAATTGTATTGACAAATTTTGCACTGAAGTTCCAAGATTGTCTATAATCTTAAATAAACTGGACTGAATGAAGTAGTAGCTTGAATATGACCTACTCACACAGAATGCCTTCAACAGCATCATGCTGGATGAACTTGATGTTGGACACTCTGACATCGGCTCCCGTGGACTCCACAAATGAGTCGCTTTTGTGTTGGTTTTCAATCACAACTTCATCAGGGAATCCAAAGCCTGTTGCACAAACCAAGAGATCTGCTAACACCCAACAGTTCTCTGAATGTTTAACACGTCTCAGGAGACAGCGGTCTTCCTGCAGCAAGTTCACCAACACATCTACTGTCAACCACTGGAACCTCTTCACGTTTGGTGATATTCCAACAGCTTAGTGGAAGCAAACTGAAGCATATAGTTCATTTACATCCTCCAATCCCTTCACACTGATGCCAATAAATAATATCCTGTGAAACCAATTGTCTTCAGAAATCACTTCTAATTTCTAATGCCCATGTGCGTCTAACAAATACACATGTGTTGATACAGAACATGATTGAGCAGACAGCAACATGAGGATCTGGTGAGATCCAACAAACACAGCAGCAGGTCTGGGGGAACGCTGTGGGTTCTAAAACCATATGCCAAATAAAGATGAACCGATCCAATATCGATGTCTGCATCAATCCCAATATTGACAAATTCTAAATCAGGTGTTGTTGAAAATGTGCCCAATCCATAAGGACAGATCTATTCAGGCTAACTCTATTCTAAGCGACATCAAGCTTTATTATGTATTTGACATTATTTTTAGAATTCCTAACAGCATTTCTCAGAACATCAGTGTTCACATCAACATGGAGCTGCTTCCTCTTAAGAGTACAATCGTCCAAAATGATTGTACCCATAGTGTTTTCTTACCTTCAACAGTGATTGAGTCTGGTATGGAGATGGAGCTGCTGACTCTGTAAGTGCCTGGAAGAATGATGACCGTGTCACCCTGATGACAAGAATCCACGGCTGACACTGGATCTCTATGGAACTGCAGACATCAAACGATTCATCCTGCCAAACTGGATATACTGCCCTTGTGTGTGTGTGTGTGTGTGTGTGTGTGTGTGTGTGTGTGTGTGTGTGTGTGTGTGTGTGTGTGTGTGCGTGTGTGTGTGTGAGAATATCAGCACAAACTGTTTAGCACAGAGATGGAGGGCTGATGATATGGGCTTTGTTTTGGCCTTCCTTTTGGCCATAAACTAATTTGTAAACAAAGCAGTTGACACTCAAAAGTGGCTGATCTGTTCAAGAGCTAAACCGTGGGACCAACTCATCAATATAATGACCTCAGATAGAGCTAAAATGATTAATCAGATTAGTGATGATGAATTGACTACTGATACTCTGTAATTAAGCCAAATCTTCTTCA